TCCAAGAATAAAGAGGACTGCGAGATTTTTAATTAAAGGATTTAGATTCTGGGATATTCGCTTGTGAAAACGTTTGTATTGAAAATAAGCTTCCTCGTGGACTATTTTAAAGTCAGGGTGAATGGTATAGTATCATTTAAAACGTAATGTAAGGGCGGGCGCTATGTGTTGGAAAATTCGGATTTTATTTATGTTCGATTTTTTAGCGTTACTCCCTAATTAGGTGCTGTATACCATTTCCTTCTCAATTTGTGCATATACCTACTCTGTAGTATTTAGGTACCTAGATGCATAGTACACTGACCTACTTTTTTTAAAATAAACAACATCCTATAGGTTTTTATGATGCATCACACTGAATTTTAAATTTATCTTCAGCGTCATAATTAGATAAAATAGAAATTTCAGATAAAATTTCCTTTAACCTATTAAATACTATTTTACAATTTTTACTCCACAACCACATGTAGTATTTTCTTAATAATACTCTCATAGGTTCTATTATATCAGTCATATTTGATATAAATAAATTCTCTTAAATAGTTGATCATTCCTAGCACTGAAGTTCATTAACACTAGTTGGGCTTTTTAACTCTAGTATAGCTTTAATCCTGTCCCTATCCGGTTATACTCCAGTTATTTTCATTTCATATTTTTAGTATTGTTTCTTATTTGGATTTAACTTTATACTTAGTGACTTGACCATATCCATAACCTTTTCCAGAGCTTCATCATGCTCCTTCCTTGTTTTACCATAAATTAAAGTATCATCAATGTATATACATATATTTTGAATAACATTAAAGTACTTATTAGTTAATTGTTGGAACAATTCTGGCGCATAAACTATTCCAAATGGTAAACTATTGAAATTATATGTACTATAAAGTTTACTAAACACAGAGTATTATTTTGAACTATCTTCTAACTCTGATTAATAAAAATAATCATTCAAGTCCATCAGTGTCATGTTTTGTTCAACAATTTAATTCTTATTTCATCTAGAGTTGGAATTTCAACCATTTCTCTCACAATGTTTTTATTCAAATCTCTAGACACATTCTCAGTGTTTTGTCCGTTTTCTCTATTACCATCAAACTATTTTACCACTCACTGGGCTCTTTACTCTTTTCAATTATTTTCTTAACACAAAATAATCAAAAATTCAAATGCTCTTTTAATTTTTCTTTTTATTTAGTCTATGACTTTTAACTGTAAGTACACATCCATATCTTAGATTTATTTTTAACTTGTCTGGGAAAACAATCAATGCCTGTGAATACATTCTTGTGTTCTTTATAAAATTCTCTGTACTACTTTCTCCTTGTATCTCATTCAACTTATTAATATATTAATATATTAATATGTAATATTGTCATTGCCCCTTCAAAGACTTTTATTACTACCTTATTGTTTTCCAATTTTACACCCAGTAACTTATAATATTTTATTATTATTAATTTTCAATTTTTCCATACATGTATTGTAATCTTTATGGCATATCTCATCCAAATTCAAATATTCAACTCCTTATCATTTTAACATTCCACTATATCTACTTATCGGTTGTTTCTACATTTAGAGGCAAAATTATTAAGTTTTTAACTTATATAATCTTTCTCATATGCCAGACATTCTCTTATTTTGTGTAACTTACCACATTTGTAATAATTTAATTTTCTATCTTGATCATTTTGCCAGTTGCTTTGATTCTTTCATCCATTTGGCTGCCATCTATTTCCTTGATTCTATATCCCTCTTCTCTATTGTTCCATCACATCCACTTCCTTAACTTAATTTTCTAATAAATTGCTGTTTTCTTCCGCCTGCTCCACTGATTGACACAAATTAATTATTTTATCGAGAGTTAATTCTTCTCTCAGCAGTCTAGTTTGCAATTCTTTGTTTTCTACTCACCCACAATACAATTTGGGTTCTTAATAAATTGTCTTCAATCTTACCACAATTATGTGTTTTAACTAATGTTCTTAATCCCGCATAATACTTATCAAATTTCATTACTGACTAGTTTTATTGTAAAAAAATTTGAAATGTTCCACACTTAAGAATGCAATACTTCTTTAAGTGTTTCGAAATTGATTCAACTGTTTCCTTTTCTTTTATTGGTGTTTTCAATGATCTATATAATTTCAAATCATCGTTACCAAGTAAGTTGAGTAGTCTTACTATTTATGTTTTTGCTGGTTTATCTATTGCTTCAGTAGCTTTGAAAAATACATTAATCTCATCTTTGATTATTTATAAATTATCTACTATATTCCCAATTAATTTTAAACTGTTTGACTTGTTGAACTCCATTTCTAACTCGTTGAATTAGAGTCACTCAGTTTTTATTGGTTTCAATCACTCTTATGAGTTTATAATTTCATAAACTAAGAGTTACTGACTGCGCCATATTTTATGTTGTTTATTTAACTTTAATGAACACACATTATTAATTATTACTATTCTATATTATTACTAATAAATTCTCAACATATGACTTCTGCAACATGCTTATTAGCATTATTACATGATTATAATACCAACTTGATAATACAATATTATAAGTAAACGAAAATCGATCAGTTGATCGAGTGTTTCTTTTGTTCGTGGCTATTAATACCAGTGGAAGGGAGTGTCAAACTGGATACCCACCTAGGGCGTTGCGCTTTATGGGGTCTCTCATGTTTAGATATTGAGTAGAGCGTGGTATACATTAGTTTTGCTATGATAGTATGATGTATAAGGTTTATTTTTTTTATTTTACCTATCTGAACTATTTATCTTGGTTAACTGTCTACTGTTGTCACTTTATATGATTCGCTAGTGCTATATATTCAAGAATTTCGTAATAAATTTGATCAAATTGAACAAAATGCTAAACAAAAAACTAATGAAACACGATACTCCAGTGAATTATCTAGACAAAAAAAATTATTTTTTGATGAAGACAACACAGAGAAATTGTTAAGAGATCCTGTAATATGAAAACCAAAACATTTTAGATTCCGAGGGTAGTGAGAGAGCTATTAGTTTTATAATACTTTTTATTTCTTTTTTCTTTCGTTGTTCTAGTCTGTGGACACGTTTTTCCCTAGTAAACTTGCTCTGATTTTTACTTATATCAACTTTTCTGAAAGCTCAAGTTGTTTATATTGTACTTTAGTAAGATAATTTTTTTTATTTTTGACTCCATTTTTTAAATAATAGCACTTAAGTGGGAAGAAACGTAGGAAAACGTACAATTTCACGATTTTATTATTTCATAAAAACACGGACGACGTTTTCTACCAGAAAAAAATGATTTAATCGAAAAATGACAATGTACCTTTTTCGTTACCTTTTCGATTTAATTTCTTACGTTATCATCGCCAAAACTTTTGAGCCACTTGTGAGCTTATAAGGAATTTAAATTTGGGAGTTTTTTTGCTGTAATACGGTTATAAATACACGTAGAGACTTGAAATTGGTAATAATACTTATATTGGATTTATTAAGATGTGATAAAATTTCCAAAATCATCGGACGACTATTTTTCCTTTTTTTTTTAAACTTTTTGACAATGGTACTTTTTTTTTATATATACTGTAGACCACTTTTATCCTAGTAAACTTCATTCGATGTATAATTGCATCACCTTTTCTGAAATTCAATTTTATCTACTTGGTAAATACATAGGTCATTTTTTAATTTCCAAAACGGTATTTAAATAAAAATCGAAAAAAAAATAAGATTTTTTCACGATTTCGTTAGTTTAAATAAGTACCTACCACATTTTCTAGCACAAATATGGCTCCAATTAAAAAATTACAAGAGACAATTTTTGTTGAATTATTAATCTTGTTTTTAATGATGTAGGTCCTTTTTTGATTTTCGAACTAGTTTTCATAGTAATCGAAAAAAAACGTAGGAAGGTTAAGTTAAAAAAAATACGGCCTTTCAAATTATGTATTACTGGGAATCGTCTTTCGTCAGCAATGGTTTATCGTTACTTACAGATATAAATGAAATAACCTTATGTATCCTACCTTTTCAACTTTCCACCTACAACAGTAGCTGCACATATCCCCAGTATCAGCTCTTTTTTTAATTTTGATTTAAAAGTTGTGAAATTTAAAAACTTTAAGTATTTAACTATACAAAATTATGAATTATTAATTATATTTAAAATTATACTATTGGGCCACCTTGTCAATTTGTTTTGATGATAAAACTATCATCATAATTTTTTTGAGACTTTTAAACATTGTACAGAAAAAATTGACAAGACACCCTAACAATGTTTAAATTGGGAAAACTCTTGAAAAATCGAAAAATAACCTCCCTAAAGTACCTCTCCACACTGATTCTCTTTCAGAAAAGCTGCTACACTTTAAAATCAGAAAAATATCTTTGTATGAAATTCGTCCACAGAAAATAAAAATAAATTAACATCTTTGTAAAACCGTAAACTTCTTCGCTCCACCCAGAACTTAAAATATTATTGTATTTAATGAATCCGTTTTTATTTTACATAATTTTTAGTGTTTTCCAATTACTATAAATCTTACAAGTTTATACATTTCTGCTCAGAATCGTGTTTTGATTGAAATTAGCATTGCTTTTATTTTATTTTCGACTATTGCTAACTTTTTCGAAAATCATAATATACATTTATGTAACCCAATTCGATTTGTGTGCGTGTGCGTGTAAACAACCCTCGCATTTGTTCGTGACCCCGATCAATAAAGGTTCTAGAACGCGACTGCGCTGTAAACACCATTATTATGACGGGAGTAGGCAACGCTCGTTGGGGTAGCTATATTACAATCTTGTGCATCATCGCGTTAGGAACTCCTATTTCGTCAAAATAATCGTTTCTCTCTCTAGAATAATACAATTGTATTCAGTCCAATTACGCGTGTAAGTATTCAATTCTTATTATTGTTATTACTTATTTTACAATAGATATCTATTGTATATTTGCATAATGTTATACAGATTATATTGGATAAACAATGCCAGCTGAATGCACCAGATTCATGTTAAATCTCATGAACCAATGGAAGTTAACTTTTGCACTCTGCGTGCCATGTGTCGCGGTAGGATTGGGTGCCATATTAATTTACTACATCAGCGGAAACGACTTAACTGATGATAATTTGTCGCAGCCACCGAATGAAGAAGACGAAGCCCAACTTCAGGTTAAATTAAAAGAAAAGGTACATTGCTTTTAATATTATTTTCGTGGTTGTAAAAATGAACATATAAAATACATATAATGAAACCTATTTACATTAATTTACTTGTTGTATTCTGTATGCAGGCTGACGAAGAAAAACACAAAATGTATAGCAACATAATCTTAGGAAACCGCTCATTGGAGATGGGATGTTATGATGACGCCGTTGAATATTATACAAAATATTTAACAATATGCCCCCAATCTGATAACCAATTGATTGCTCATGTACTTCATAGCCGAGCTACGGCATTCTATAACACGGTGAACATTTATTTATAAACCTACCTATATAGACTAATATAAATAGGTACTTAATACGTCCTAATTGGTAGGAGGAAGAGAGAGCATTTTCCACATTCTAGCTTTTCAGAAATACCTAAAAGATTGAAAACGTTTGTACCCCCATCTCCCCCATAGACAAAATGTTTGTATACAAATGGGAATCTAAACGGTTTAGTAATATTATAAAAAATGATAACTTATACTTATTTTCTTTTCATTTTTAGAAACTGTACAGCAAATCTTTGGCCGATTGTAACAAAGTACTAGAATCGTTGCCGATAAATAAAGATACTTTGTTTCTCAGAGCAAAGGTATTAATCAACATGAATAATTTGAAACTTGCTGCAGAAGACGTTACAATTTATTTACTGACGAGAGATAGTGAACACCATGTTGAAGAAGATGTGTCATTTGCGCTCTTAATAATAATTTCTTTTGGTAAGATATTTTAATATCATAGTATAAAACATTAACGAAGCGATTTTTTTTTTTATATTGAATATTTTTATTTTAACTTTACATGAAAATTGTTTTTACAACTAACTAATTCGGAACTTACCTACATATCACAAATTAAGACATACTTTAATTAAATTTATCTTATTCCTGCCACATATTATATTTAATTTGTTATTTTGCCCTAAGTGGTTATTTTCATAATCTTTAGGAAATTAAATTAATATTAAAATATTTTAATTAGTTCAGTAGGTTATTTTATTTATATAAAACAATTTTAATAAGTCAATGCACGCCATGTAGTGGTGCAACAGAGTACTAATTTTGGGGAGCGATAAAATTCACATACACATGTATTTAAACCAATGTCGTAAAATGGGGTCCACATCCACAGCTCTTGAACTCTGCACACTACTTTCACTTTATAAATTTAATTTAAATTAATTTATAAATTATAAATTAAAAATAGAAAAAAGTTAGTAAAATGCTAACATAAATTAACAAGCAAAACAAATTATACATTAATGTGTACTATATAAATGTTAAGTATTAGATCACTAAGTAAGCGTATGACTAAAAAAATAATACAATTTTGTTTACAAAACCAAATATATATTAATTATTTATATTTTTTTTCGACAAATCTGTATATTTATAACATCAACTAATATAATTATTGATTCATGAATTTTTAGAATTGCCAAGCCTGATAGGTGATCCTGCCTCATTTGGAATCTTAATTAAATTTATAATCTAAATTGCATAATAAAATAATAAAATCTGCAAATTTAAAATATTTAATAATTTAACTATTTATTATTTATTTATATTTATTTATTTAGTTTATTTAGTTTAGATAGTTAATACAACTAAACAAATGGAACTTAATAATAATAGTAACTTTTGTGCATTTATAATAAATAAAATAATAAAAAAAATGGTTTTAATGTTCAAATCGTAATCACTAATCAATTTCATAAAATATATATTACTGAAAAATCATAACTAATTATTTATAGACGATGAAACAATTGATCAGTTCCAAAAAACTAAAAATTCTGCTTCATTGTTACTCAAACAAATCAAACAAATTACATATTATAATGAATCATTCCTCGATGAAATATTGAACGCTGTTGATCCAAAAGTATTAGACAAAGATCAGTTCAAGTGAGTTGTTTTTAAATTACCTACCTATAATATCTATCAGTGATGTCCAAACTATTTGGTTAAAGGGTGAAAGGGTAAAGATTGCTAAACATGCCATAGTTAGTTGTGGTTTAAAAGAATTATAGCACTGTATTTTAAAAATTAAATTAATTACATAGAAATTTGATACCATAATACTAAATATATTAATTAATAGTATATGATAAAACTATGAAAATTGTTTGGTATTTGAATTTCAAGACTCAGATCAAACTTAGTAAACAAAATAGGTACTATTATAAAAGTATATAATTTTTTGAATTAACTTCACCGCTGTCCTTGATAGCTATTATTTATGTGGTAAGATTGGCACTTTAACTGTTAGAAAAGTGCAACTATTTTAATTTTTTTATACCCATCTCCAAGCCTAAATTACAATAGTTACTTACTGAATATTAACCTTTACGGTACATGCTTAAATGTGTTTCAGAACAAATATGATCACCGCAATTAGAATGCTCAGAAATTTCATGGATAAGTATAATGAAGGTACCACACCAACTGATCCATTAGATGTAATAAAAATCAAGAATTCGTTTGAACTTCGTTTAAATGTTATACAGCGTTTACAAAATATTCCCGAGATCAATGAAACTATTCAATAGAACATTATTTTATTATTTTAATACAGTATACTTAGCCAATATTATAATCATACCTATCTGTATTGACTTTACTGGAGTTTTAAAATGATTATAAAAATATCTACAATAAGACTAAAAGTTTTTTTTTATTATTTAGATTAGGTGTAAATATATATATATATATATAAAATTATCGTGTCACAATGTTCGTTCCCATACTCCTCCTATGTAGTTAATACCGCATTAAGTATAATATATACTATACAGTATACACAAACATTTAATATTATTTCAAAATTGTATTGTACCAATATTTTGATAAACATTAAAAAAAGCGCTTGATCTCAGATTATTTCTAGATAAATAGGTAATAAATATCTATATTTTACAAACGTATAATCAATGATGTTAAAATATCATATTTTAATTTTAATATGCATTGAACTGGACCGGATGACACAATAAAATAATATTATACGACGAAGGCTAAATGATGTTTAGATTTTCAGTAAATAAAGAGTACTTAATGAAGATAGAAGGTTACTTTATTTATTGAAACTTAATAGCCCTGTGAATCGTTCAAACGTATGTCTAATCTACGTAGAGTTATCAGTTTATCATTTAATAATAGATATTTGCTATTTAATACCCTACTCTACTACACTGGTCTAAATTTTAAATGGTTATAAATATGCAACTCCTATAACTTTCAGGCCTAGTTATAATTCATAAACAATAAATCTGATGTTAGTGTTATACATATAAAAATGTCTAGAAAAATATTTTGTATTTGAATTGATGTTCAAAAAGGGAAGGGGTTCCTATTAAAAAAAAAAAAAAACAAAAGTATATACTTATTTAAGGTATATGGAATAAAAGTAAAAAATTAAAAATGATTTTAAAATAAAGCTAAACCGATTCCATAATGATTAAAATTAAAAACAGAAATCAAACTCACTTAATATTCTTTAAGTTAATTGCTGACTTATGATAAAAAAAATTTAATGTTCAGATGTATTATGACCGAAGTCAGAAATTTTAAACACAATTTTAGATTTTGAACCGAGCGAGGATTGTATTGATTTTACAATGTTGTTTATTTTTCTTTTTTAACCGGACCTAACCTTACGGCCTTTTTATATTCAGAGTGTAGTGAAGAATGTATTGATTTTACTAAGATGTTTATTTTTTTTATTTTTTTTTTTTTAACCTGTATACAAAAATTCTACCAGAAATCTTGCTCAGATATATACGCGCGAAACCGTTTCTGAAAGAAAATGTTGTCCATATGGTACTTTTGGAAGATCATTTTTTGATTTTCCAAGCGGTTTTCATAATATCTAGAGAAAAACGGGAAATTTACTAATATAATGCTTTTATTATTTTTCAATTTTGTTAATTGTTGTAATTCAGTTAAAAATATTTGTAGAGACTTAAAATTTGGATAGAAAATGTATTTCTGCCTTTTCTAGACATGGTCTAGACATTTTAAAAAATTTAAGTCATATTTGAGTTATTTATTATTCATATTTTACTTGCGACTGCGGATTCATTTGTTATTAATATTGCAGAAAATTAAATTTAAGTTAATACATTATAGAACTCATAAATTACATAGTTTTGTACCTAATCAATGTAATGTTTGATAAAATTAGAATTGCAGATAAACAATCTTTAAAGTAGTATAGTAAAAAATGAGATACCCATGTTCTTTTATAGTTTAAATATACACTATTTTACCCAATTATTTTGGTAACTATTATTATTGTGGACTGTAGATTTTATGGCTATTGAACATCTTAAACTAATTGTTTATGGTTACATATTTTTATCTTGGTTTGTTTCAACGGTCAATACGTTTTCACTGTTAAATTTTCAATGCAAAATTTTATGAAAAAAATTTGCTCGTGTTTAAAAATTTAATAATAACGTTAACTTTCCTAACCTTAAGATAAGAACACTATTATACGACTTGTTTCGAATTAAAAATCCATCATCAGGTGTATCACAGTCAAAATGTAAAACGTAGCTGTATATTTTTTATTTTTATGTATACATTTTTTATTTACAATACATTTATTTACTAGACAAACATTTAGTCCAAACCATAATTCAGCCGAAAATCCCTCTCTTCTACAACCAACGCTAAAACACAACCGGTGCACGCATTCACCACTAGCGCTCTAGGCACTAGGGCTCTCTACCATACTTCATCTACATGCCACATACGTAATAACCGACGATACCGATTTTTTTTATAACGTTAGTTGTAGCGGAGAGGGATTTATCGGCTGAAATACGTGTCGGCTATAATACAAATCAGATTGCACATTGCATAGTATATAGAATAAATCTAATTGTATCTAGTTACATATGTAAGAATGTTGAGGTAATTTTGATTAAATATATAAAATAAATACTAATTATTTCCTATACAATTTAAAATATACACATGACTCAAATGTAGTATTCTTTAAATAGGTATTCAATTTTTTCCGAAATAAATATGGTATTATAATTATAATAAATTATAATATAATTAAAATTTGATTAGGAAATTTATTTAAGAAATTAAAATATGCTGAAATATTTGTTCTCATTTCTTCATTTAGCTAAAGGCCCCCATATTCAAAACTATATCCAAGGGCTCCTGGGTCCCAACGATTGCCAGTTAGTCGGGTGAACCAAAACCAAGATTGGTACTGTATAATCTAATCATCGAATACGGTACGCTTATTGGATAAAAGCTATTAGCTGTTCCCTTTTATTTTATATTTGTATTATTTTAAATTTGATCATATTATTGTAAACAAATTTAAAGTTTTAATAACCACTGTGTACATTACATATAATGTACTATTAAGTATAACATATTTGTATGTAAGCCAGGATCCACTGCAACACAATTTTTGGAAAAGAAGTTGGACCCTCGAGCCAAGGCCCAACCTCAGGATGGACTTCGGTGCCACTGCTTAGGTTTATGACACGAAGTAAGTTTTAATTCGTGTTCTATGTGTTTTACTAGTCACAGTCACGTGACCAAAAATATAATTATACCTATAGCCGTTTTGCTAATTTCCGGTTCTTTACATCTAGTGATAGTATCTATCAGACCAGTTTAACTCCCCCCCCCCCGATCATAATAGGTACATACAAATAAAAACGCCTTTATATTATGGAAAAATTAGGATCAGACATTTTGCCGTGCACTAGTAGTGTTGTTCCAAACTATATAACAATAAAGTATTGGAACAATATCCTACCATGCGTTATTTCAATTTTTTTTTTCAAAATATGTGTTTTTGGATGCTTAATTTGACGGTGCTTTCAAAAAAAGTCGCTCACACTTATTTCGTAATTTCTGTTCAAAAAACTTCAAAATGCTCGATTTTGTGTAACTACTAAACAAGATTATCTAAATTTTCAATATTGTACTGATTATTTAGATTAAATAACTCTACAAATTTAAAAATTTTTACTCGATAATTATTATAAAATAATATAATTATAAGAAAAATGGTTTACCATTACAAACTTGACTTGAGAAGCAGCTAAATATTTTGTGTCAAATTGAATACTATATTAAACAATGCAGTACGATTATTAATAATTGGAATATTATCTTGTCAAAGTAATGCATTTTTGTATATTTCCTATAAATTAAAAAATTTTGTTACAACACAAGACATTATAAAATTCCATGTGTTCTTACTTCAGCAAAAATGTTAACTAATTAGATATATTTAATATTTTTCTCTCGTATTAGGTATATCTGTTATAGAAAATGTGCTTCACAAATTGTATGGCCAATCTTTAGCCCTTCAATGATTTCACCCTATCTCTCAATTATTTTTTTCGTGACCTCAAAACTGACAACCCTCAAAGTAGATTTTTCACAAAAAAAAACATAATTTAGGCATTTTAAAATAAAAATAATTCACTTAAAAAAACTATAATTTGTATATTATTTTTTTGTGTTTTGTTTATACATGACGTATTTGAGAGAATGCTCGTTATTAGGAAGGTTTAAATTGTTTAGGTTCTTAAAATATAGGTACATGTAAAATTGTATTACATTATTTATTTCTTATTATAATATAATGATTTATCAGCTTAGCACTGCATCTGGTTCTGATTTTTCCGTGATAAAAGCGTTGGTTTTAAATATGACTTACCAGACATTCACTAAGATAGATAAGAACAATATACTATATAGTATACAGAAGAATGTATACTATCTCAGTACAGATATTATATTCCACGGTCCGGTATCTTTAATCGTGGTTCTAATTAATTTTTGATAACACACGTGAGTGATAAAAAAATAATATTAATGATTGAACACAATTATTAGTAACAAAAATATTCTATACCATTTATTAGATAGTGGTTAACACTCGTGCACTGTTCCAGAGTTTCTGATTCATCGCCAGGTAAACTTCTTTTCCATTAGTATAAACAATATTATTATTTCAACTTGGAAGTTATTTTTTAATGGTGATTTCCCTTCCCTTATAGGGCACATTCACACACATAAAGGAAAAAAATGGATCAATTAATGAAACTAATGATACCTGTACAACAGTTCTGTAAAGATTCAATTAGACTAGTGAAGAGGTGCACTAAACCTGACAAGAATGGTAAATATCATTCAACTTCTTTTATTCAATATTTTACAATAATCTACTGTAATATTTTTCAATTTGTACTTATGCACATAGAGTTCAAAAAAGTTTCAATTGCTACTGCAGTTGGTTTTTGCATAATGGGTTTCATTGGTTTTTTCGTTAAACTTATTCATATACCCATCAACAACATTATTGTGTAAGTACCTACATTAAGTCAGCTAGATAATATTATTTTTTGACAATTTTTGCATAAATATTCTTATATTTGAATCTTTTTTGAGTTATAAAAGTTATAAGGTTACATAATTATATTTATCACAATTAATTTTGTTATACAACTTTTTATATAATTAATATACAATACATTTAATTTAATAAATAAGTTTGAAATATTGTCTTTTCTATTGATGATTAATGTAATATCAACAATTTCAATTTACATGTGGTATTGAGTTATTATGATTATTATGATAAGAAGAAGTTTATCATATTTTAGTATTTATATTAAATTTAATCATTTTTTAAAAATAAGCAGAATTGTTTTTTTTTTTTTTTAAATCAAAGTTATCAATTAATATTCCATAAATTACAGAGTTATTTACTTATTTAGAGTTTTACTTTTATTCAATTTACATATTGTAAATGATAAGATATAATAATATAAATATGTATTTATAAAATAATTTACTATTCATATTATGTAGTATTTAAATTGTTAATTTAACCCAAATTACATTGTACTGTTTCTTCCTCAATAATTAACGAAGGAACAATAAAATAATAAATGATTAATTATTAATCATATAGTTCAACATTGAGGATGGATGATTGAATGGGTTATTTCAAAAAAACTAAGCATTTGGTGAAAAAGCCACTTTTTAGTAGGCCAATCTGATAATCAAATCATTGATCCATCCAATCATAATTTAAGGAACACCGATTTCCATTTAATTGGGCATCAAATTAATTAAAAAATAGTCTATCAGTTAAACCGTATTATAGTCCCTTACTATTATTTAATATATATTATATAAAAAGTTTAACTTAATCATTGGTATTTTTTGTGCACTTCGAAAATTAAATTAATATACTAATATATTGGAAGTAGTAAGTATGTATCTATATATATATATATATATATGTATATTTTACAGATGAATCCTGAAATCTAGCAAATCACATACTACATTCCTTTTAAATTATTATCTGTGAACAACCTTTTTACTGTAAATTTTTCTCCGATTTTCAAATATAGCAATTTTTCTGAAAAGAAATCTGTTTGGAGTGGTTCTTTAGAGAATTAATTCTTTCTTATTTTTTGATTTTCCCAGCAATTTTCATAATACATTGGAAAAATTAGGGGGCGTAGGAAAATTGGTAAAAAGAAGTATAATATTAAACAAATATTACTAAAGAAAAAATATATATAATGTGTACTATATACTATTTTACCATAATACGACCTAATATATTGTTGACAAAACCACTTTTTGCTCAGAATCGTTTTTCATTAGAAATGGTTAATCATTGTATGCAGATATACTTTAAATTTCCTCTCTACCTTCAAAATTTCTCACCTACAACAGTGACCCACCCACGTGTGAAGTATGTCAATTTTTTTTGTAACTTCTTTTAGTTTTTTTTTTTTTCAAATTAGATACACATATTTTGTTAGTTATTGCTAAAGACTAGTAACATAAGCTTACATTAAATATAAACTAAAATACAATTGTAGTATTATACAAATTAGTTAAGGTGTATATCTCTAATATACCAACTTATAGTTTAACAATTAAATAAAGTATTAAGTTGAGAACATGATAAATTGAATATAGAGAGCTTATGATAAAAGTAGCTGTATCTTTGCCTAAATGTTTATTTTATATAGTCACTAGTTACATACCAGATATTTTAATGCAAGAATCAATTTATTATTGAGGGCATTGCAATATAAAAAGAAAAACATACCTACCTACCTACTGTAAAAAATTAAAATATATGGACAGTTTTGCTATGGCAAAAGCTGAAACCTGGCAGATATGCCCAGGCATGTCTGAAATTTATAAGATAAAAATGTACATGTACCCTATACATTTTAAATATTTTTTATATTTATTTTATATTATTATATTGTTTTTTTTTTTAAATTTAATACATAATAATTATATTTGCATCTATATGCTATAGTATTAAGTATGCTACCTGTTTATTATCATAACTACTGTGAATTTCCAATCATATATGATTTTTTACTTTTTATATAAATTATAATATGACTTTTTTTTTTACAGTGGATCATAAAGCATTTCAAGTGGGCCTCTATATTTCTTAAATACATGGAACTAGATGTGTACAATTCACAATATTTAATTTATAATTGTATTCATCTATTGAATTTAATTAAATAAAAAAAAAACAATGAAATATTGTATTTATTGTTTAAAAAGTAAAAACATAAAATTAGTATCCTAGTAGTCTAATTATAAGCTATTTATTATGGGTTTGATTATTGAAATCCAGACATTGATGTTTTTTTCTAATTATATAAGCTTTTTTTAAATTTCTTCATTGTGTTAAATTTTTTTTCCAAAATCAAAATATATATCAATATTATATACCTCTTTAATATATTTAAGTCATTATTATTTTATAAACTTAAAAAAAGAAACATTATTTCTAATAATATATTAGTTTAACGTTATAGTCAAATAATTATAATGCTGTAATTTATTTTAGATTCTAAGTGTAGCGAAGAATAAATTGGTTTATAAAAGAGGTGTAAAAGTTCTGTGTACAGAAATCTTGTTCCAAAGTATCAAGTATAGCTTTTTTTATGAAGCAAATCTGGCTACAGTACTAGTACTACTACTACTGTACTACTACTAAAGTGCTAGTACTTTAGGAAGATCTTTTTTTGATTTTCCAAGAATCCTCAATAAATTGGAAAAAACCGGGATAATAAGTTCAATATTGAACATGTTATGTTTATTTTATTAAAGAAACTATGTAATGCTTATGTAATTATGTTACTATAATGTGACAAATTATATATTTTTGAAAAAACAACACTATTAAATGAACTACACTCAGAATCATTTTTCATTAACAATGTTTAATCATTATTTACAGATGTACATTAAATTTACTTGCTACCTTCCCAACTTCTCACCTAAAACAGTGGCCCTTGTAGTATGTCAGTTTTTTTTTCGGTCTCTTAGGTGCTACACTTGACAATTGGAGCAAGAATTCTAGGTGAAATGTCAGTCACTAAATTTAAAATCTAACTACTATTAAAAGTATATAAGCTTATGATTTTTGTAAAGCTTTAGTCTTACACTGTATAAATTCAATGTATACATATACTGAGTAAATAAGCTTACAATATTTTGTAACTTCATTATAAGCACTTACAAAATATTAAAATAGCAATCTTAAAATAGTCTCCTAAAAAAAAAAAATTGGGCATTTTTAAATTTCATAACTTAACATGAATTTCAATAATACTTTTCTAGATTTTATATCAAACCAAAATAAAAAGCTAAGTCCTAACTATATTGTAATTAATAAGTTATAACTTCAATCTAATATATAAATATAAACTATATTATATGCATTTGAATAACAATTAATAAACTTAAATCAATTAACAAATTATATAACACATCTTAAATATAAAACATAAAGCATAATATTATAGAGTATTGGTTTTTCCTAATTGATATAATTTTTGATAATATTTCTATTTTATAATATTGTCACATAGAAGTTATTAGGTAATGAATATAACATTTTACACATAATAAAGATGAAGGTACCTGATCACATTTACTATAGTAAAAAATTACCTACACAGTTGATAGAAGTGAGGACTGACTATAGTAAGTCTTAGACCAAATTTTAGGTTGGTGATAAATATCGAGATATCAGGTTTAAAATAAAAATGCTGGACAACAGTAGAAACTATTGAAGAGTAGGGGACATTTTTACAATTTTTTATCTGACACCGGGAACACACTATTATGAATTATGTGACATTCCTATGGGTTGTACGTCATCCCTAAGTTAAATATAATTATTTTTCACAAATATTGCTGACCTAATGGCAACAATAAATAGTTTACAATGTTCTAGCCCAAGTACAAGTTCAAACAAATGTGGAATTATGGATTTTTCATTAAGAAGTACAACATTTTTGAATAGAAATCACCTCCAAATTATATTGTGAAACTAACTGGTATAAGCACAATTTTATCATCTATGTAATAACTTATTTCTTTATTGTCTTGATTACTAATTTATGTTTGTGTTAAATGATATGAACTCTGCAATTAGTTTCATTTGATAAATAGTTTAATAAAACATTTTTAAACTTAAATATCTTTTTTTAAATTTGTGGTTAAGATTGTACACCAACATAGAAATTGAAGAGGAATGTTACATGAATGTTACATGTTACATAACTTTTACATGTAAAAGTATTTTCTTTTTTATATATAATATTGCTATTTGTTTTATCTTCATAAATAAAGACTTTGTATAAAGATTTAAATTTGATTTATATCGATTATATTCGTGATAAATTGTGTTACCAAATTGTGGTATCAAAATTATAACTTGATACGATATAAATGAACGGCCGTATTCGAATTGCGTGCCTAAAAACGAAAATATACGTCGCGACAACCAAGAACTTGGATTGTAATTTTATTGAATTTAGGTTTGGATAGTTGGTTAAAAATAAAACAAATAAAAAATTAGAGCGGCAGAGTAGATCCCAAGCATCGTCAGGAAAAACCTTTTTGCCAACATACGCTCTTACTGTAAGTTGAAGAGGTTCTTAGTGCGAACATTCGAAGAAGGTATGTTCGGCTGTGTTCTCTGAGTGGCCGCACTGGAGCCACTCCGCATTAGAGGCACGTTCCACATGGCATAGGATCTAGGTAATGCTTGAAGAAATGCTCCGATAAAGCCTGTGTGACATGAAATGTGAGATACTTAATCATCTTGTCACTCATTTTTGTAAGTCCAGAAAGATCTTATGCGTCCAAATTGCGTTGGTGTTACGGCTCTACCTCTCGCCTTATGCAGTGAGTATTATACACGCTGTGTCCAAAGGATATACAGTGACGATTTAGTCCTGTCCGGTCCTATCCTGTCTCCAAGTTCATCCAAATCCACTTTCTCTCCAACGCGAAAAGGTCACCCAGCGGTGTTCCCGTAAGGAATAAGGCTGCATCGTCTGAGACCGTGTGGTACGATCAGGTGACACTGAGCGCTGCTGTTCGCTGGGTCCGTGATGACCGTTTAAGGTTAAATGAAAATCCAGGTAAAGCCTCAACTAATGCAAGTTGCTTTTTATGGGAACTACTTTGCCACCAAGGAACAACGTAAAATCTTGATTTGTCTATTTTCTTGTCAGCATGATGGCTTCAGTTTTGTGATGGGCAAGCCGATTATGAGAGACTTTTATTGTGAGAATATTATAGGTAGGGTCAATGAGAGCAAACTAACTGTTACCACATTAAATATATCGACTCTCAAAACCAGGTTCAAAAAACAATCTCGCGTGGATTAAATATGACGATGCATTTGAATATAATATTTGTATGATTAACTATATAAATAGTGACGTAACTTGATTAAATGAAATAAAGCAATTAATTATGAGCGACTATAGAGGAAAAAAGATCTACATTTGATATATTCTATTTGGAGGGAGATAGCTTAACTTATACTAACGTGGCAGAACACGTAATAAATTTAAATAAAGATCAAACACTAATTTACCGACGATCAAGTGTTGCCGCACAATAAGAAATAAATTCTCAAGTTCGAAAAATGGAGGAAAATGACATTATAGAATAATCCATGAGCCCTTGGAATGCACCTTTACTTTTAGTTTAAAAGAAAGAGGATGCAAGTAAGAAAGGAAAATTTAGGATAGTGATAAATTTTAGAGCTTTAAACAATGTAACGTTAAACAAATTTTATCCACTGCCTAATATAACTGAATTTAAATATTAGAATAATTGATGGAACAATGTCTACAATAAAGCGTTATATAGACTTAGCGTCACGTTTCTACCAAATACCGCTTGCTAAATCATCACATGAATTAAGAACTTTTTATATTAAATGTTCCATTTGTATTAAACATAAATCTACTGATTTATTACATATAAGACAAAAAAATCATTCAACACCTATTTATACTGAGTTTGGTACAATTCCAAGAATAAATCACTTAGTCTCTATTGAACATAAAGAATGAATAAAAGTAGAAAATATGGAAAATCTATCAATATTTAAAATTAATGTTAGTGCACCTTGAAATAAACTTATTTCAAAACAAAATGAAAAATTAACACACATAATTAGAAAATGTATGATTGAAGTATTTAATGATGCTAAAAGAGGTACTCTCAGTACTTGGTCATGGCCATTAAGAGAGGTTGTGCAAAAAAGTAAATTAAATTTGTTAACCACCTAAACACCTAAAATAATTGATACTAAGAAAATGATTTACAATACATCAATCCAACAACACATAATGAATTATTGAACTTAATAGTTGAAACAGACACCATTATTAATGGATATACTGAAGCCCACATTAGCTTTATCACTCAGAGATGAAGGTTTTGTTGAAAAAACACAGTTTGACAACATTTATGTATTGGTTAAAATAATAACAACAAATGGAGATTCTGAACTAGTATTATAGGTTTTAAAGAACCTATTTAAAAAGAAGCAATCGAATATTATGAAGTAATTAAATCTTTAATATCTCTTTAATAAAAGAGTTAATGCCATTTGAAGATTTTTTATTTATTTTGTCTTCAATTGAAACGGATGGAACAAGTGTTAATATTGGACAAAATAATGGATTGTGGGCGTAATCGATTCAAATAAATATTCTAATATTATACATATTGTTAATTAACTCAACACCCGTCTTTATTCATCTGAATGACTTCCACTGAAACTTTTAAAAAAACTAAATGATGTAGTAAGTGACAAAGAACTTCAAAAAGCACATCAAGTGATCTGTCCTGATTTTTAACTAGATGATTTCGTTACGTCTTATAAAAAAAAACGGCTAGGATACCACGTATAAAAAATAAACAATTGTCACCTAATCTTCTAAAATCGTTATTATCTAATGATTTGTGAAAACCTCTTAGCACTGCTATGGTAAATAATTTTAATTTATTCACTTGTTTTTATTTTTACTAATTAATGTGTTTAGAGGTGACTGATTAATTTGTATATTTTTTCATAGGCTTGCATTCTATCTGCTAAACCACATTCGACAGATGTTGACAGATTAATTTTTTACTACAATTTATTAAAAACTGCAACAAGATCTTCTCTATCTCCTACAGTAATAAATAATTATCTGTATGTAAAAATAAACATATCGGTATTAGACAAGTTTGATCCTCAACCAGCTGTTTTTAATTGTTTGAACAAAAAAAAAGACATTCTAAAATACATACACAAAAAAAACAGGAATGATATCAAGGGGATTTTGATAAAGTCAATGAAAAATATGATTTAACAAATAATATTGAACTTAGAAAAATACAGGTCTAAGTATAATTTTTTGTTATACTTTTAATTATTTTATCCAGGTGACAGGTGTAATATTATGTTAAATTTTCAAATAAAAAACTTTTTTTGTTATAACTTATATTTTATTTTTAGAGAGGGAAAACTCATATTAAATTAAGTGAAATTATACAATAATGTAATAACAAGTTTCATTTATTTTAGACGCTGTCTGGCACCTATAGAAATTTTTGTCCAAGTTTCAAAAATACCAACTTTGTTGAAAGGAAATTTTGTCTAGTTTATGATTAAGAAAGTCATTGTTTGATTTTATGTATATTTTTCCTAATAATTATAAAAATCCAGGGAAAACGGTAAGAAATACAGCAATTTGTCTGGCGTTTGGTTGTTTTTGTTATTCAGTTAAAAATTATTATAGAGACCTGGTAAAATGTTCAAAACATTCTATTTTCAGACTATAGGGACCTGACATTTTCGTTATTTTTTTAAGTATTTTTATTTGGTAGATATCTGTTATTAAAATTAAATGACTGGAAAGAAATTCTTGAAAATTCTACAAAAGGTACAATACAAGTTTTCATAATGATCTATAAAGCAAATTTGAGTTTAATATATTAGTTTTGTTTTCATAAGCGTTTTAAGATCAAATTTTCACTCCGAATCGTTTTTTGTTAGCAATGCGTCCAAATAAAAATTAAATAACTGTATGTATCTTACTTTCCTAACTACTCACAACAGTAGCTGCTCTCGTCCCCAGTATCAATAGTATTTTTATAATTTTATACAATATCAAAGTGTAAAAAAAAAAACTATCACTTCTAGCATTTGCATATTAATTTTGAATGATTAAAACATCGGGTGACGTATTAAGTACGGTGTTGATAGGATCCATAGACAATCTTTTTTAGGAGGTGAACCATACACTACGTGACGTTGATTGGGTCCTAATCAACATAAGTAATTCGAAAATAGAAAATCAGACAATCTTTAAGCAAAACCTGTCTCAAACCAATATGAGTTAACCAATAATAGAACCAAATATTAAGATTGAAACAGTACATGAGAAAGATAGGATAAAATAATAGGGTTAGAAGCCGCCCTAAAACTGTTGCCCAACTCGTTCAATGGGACAAATGAGGAGGACACTGAAATCTTTTTAGAAGAGTGCGAATTTGCAATTTAATGTGCTAACCTCACAGTTCAGGCTGAACTAATACAAGGGATAATTGTCAGGTTAACAGGGAAGACCCACCAAGCAGTCAAGTTCAGGACTTTAAATTCATGGGCCAAGTTGAGAGATACTATGAAGACCACCCTTGAACCATAACGGATAACCACACATCTATTCTTGGAATTATACTCTAGTAAACAGAAACCTGGGGAAAATGTGATTACTAATGCGACCAGAATAGAGCATTTTCAAAGTATCATTCTGGAACTGGAAACCAGTGATCAATTTGTGAAAGTATCCAAGGCACTAGAAGCCAGCTTGAAAGCGCAAACGGTTCAAGTATTCATTGAAGAATTGGGACCTTTCAAAGAATCGTTTTGTCAAAAGATGGGGGATTTCGATCTTTAGACAAAACGATCCAAGCAACGAATTAAATTTGGTCGTCTCTTCTGCATGTAAATAATAACATTTTCTTTATTAAAAACGAAAGCCAATATAGGAACTGGGGCAGCCACTGTTGTAGGTAAGAAGTTGGGAAGGTAGGATACATAATGGTATTTAATTTATATCTGTAAGCAACTGTAAACTATTGCTGACAAAATACCATTCTGAGCATAGTTCTGTTATATACATTTTGAAACGCCATAATTTTTTCCCGGATTTTCTCATTTATTATGAAAATTGCTAGAAAAATCAAAAATAAACTTTAACCACAAGAAACAAAAACCAAAATTCAACAAAAAGGTATTTTGTAATTTTTCCATTAGAACATTATTTCTGGTAGAAAACGTAAACCGTATTTATTAAAAATAATGAAATCGTAAAACGTAAAAACCCGTATGTTTTTCTTGGTTAAGCGTTTTTATTAAGAAAACGACGACGAAAATAAAAAAATGATCTTTTCGAAGTACAAACAGATACCTAAACTTTTCAGAAAAGTTTTTATATGTAAATATTGAAGCAAGTTTACTAGGAGAAAACGTGTACACAGAGCACAAAGAAGAAAGAAAGAAGAAAAAATAAACACCATTGTAAAACCAATACATAACTCGCTACGTTTAGAATCTAAGTGTCTTATTTAAACATCAGTCATGCAGTGGACTATAATCGAATTTGCTAATTTGCTATTATTGTTATTATTATTATGGCTAATTTACTACACTGTTTGGATTCTGAGCGTAGTGACGAATATATTGGTTTTACAGTAGTGTTTATTTTTTTATTTTTTTTTGGTCTGTGTATACGTTTATTCCTAGTAAACTTGGTCGAGAGCATAGATCCTTCTCTGAATGGTTGTCTAGTTGTCTAGTTCGTACTTAAGAGATAATTTTTTTTTTATTTTCAACGCAGTTTTCGAAATAATAGCACTGAAGTGTGAAAAACGTAGAAAAACCGTACAGTTTCACGATTTCATTATTTTAAATAAACACGGATGTTTTCTACTAGAAAAAATGCTTCATTTAAAAAATGACTAGAGACCTTTTTTGTCGCATATTGAATCTTATTTTTTTATAGTGAGGTTCGTTTTTTGATGGAAGTATGATTAATAATAATTGGAAAAAACCGAGAAGAAAAGAAGGAAAAACGTACAATAATTTCACATAATATAATCGTTCAATTTTACTTTAAAAATGTAATACTATTAATCGAGCTCCGTTCAGAATCGTCTTTCGTTAGCAATGGTTTATCGTTACTTACAGTTATAAATTAAATAAACTTATGTATCTTACCGTCCCAACTGTCCACCTATAATAATAGCAGCACCCACCCGTGTATCGGTCCGTCTGTTCCTCTTACAATTATTCAAAATCACCGAGTTAATGAAAATAAAAAGGGCTGTAGCACTACTAGACACCCATAATAACATCCCAAAGTTTCGTTTAATTCGGAATTTTTTTAAAGTCCCCCCCCCTGATTTTACTCTTTGACTAGACTAACAGACAATATTATAAAATTCATGAAAGAGTAATATTAAATAATACAATACAATGAATACGATAAGAAATGTTTACCGTACAGTAACATGTATAATTATTACGCTTTTCTTCATCGTCAATACGATCAAAAATATCCTACCACGGTCATAAGCAGGTAACCGCTAACCGGGTTTCCCGATCACCGTCGACCTTCATAACGTAAAAATTATAATTTACGAATTTATTTAATGTCATGTTTTAATAATAATTATATTCCCCCCCCCCCTCTATCGAGAGTTTTATTTTACGCTGTCGTAAAACGGGCCAGTGAGCAATCTATAGTATTTATGTTCAATGGTATAATATATGTATAGGTGATGTTAAAAATGTTAAAAAATGTTCAGTGTCATTATATGTCGTTTTATTAAGTAGGTATATAATAATATATCGAATATCGTTTTAAAATCATTGAACAAATATTATTGCATAAGATATGACATACAGGTGATCGATAAACTCGATATTTCAAAATAAAAGGTCTATTTCAAAAATATATTTATTATTTTTCGACAATTTAAGAAACAAGTAGCCATATTACATTAATATTATTTTTGAAAGTAAAACGACCAACTACTTCAAATTTTCAAATAGCAACCGATACTAAAAATTCCATACATTGGTGGATTATAACTTCAAGTAAATTGTGGTGTTGTATTTTTTGATTACCATAAACACATTTACGAATTATTCCATTTTTAAATTTGGGTAAGGCGGGAGTAGCACGACATGCCACCACCAAAATGTCTAAACAAAATTTCTTTAAACTAAGGTTGAAAATTGAAATATCCAAAAATTATTTTAAAACTAATTTTGAAAAAGTTAATACTTTTCGAAATATCGAGTGTAGTCTATTAAAGGGATCACCTATATGTATATTATGTATATACATATACACACATATGCATACAAGCACAGATAACGGAACATTAAAATAAAAGTTTTATTCTTATTTGTTATACAAAAATATTAATTATCGTCGTAGGCCGCAGGTTACTTAACCGACGGATTTTTGATTGATTTTTATTTTTATTTTCATCCCACACAGGTAATCAAATCCTTTCGTTCTGGATCTCTACCAAGTCCGTCGTCCGATCGCACTCGTTCTGCAGCCGATCATCGTTGGTCACGTAAGTCCCGTCGTCTTCGTCCTCGTCGCTCAGCGTTATGTCCCGGATGGACCGCCGGGGCCCCCGTCGCCACTGATCGTTGTCGGGTTTGGCCTTGGTTAACAGCTTAGAACCCGACAGCGAGACGATGATCGCTCCCACCGGGGCGGTCAGCATGATTGATATAATGCACGCCGTCACAATAGTCTGGGCAAACTTAATGATCTCCTGGTTACCGTCATGCGAAGCAATTTCCAGTACGGCCGGACCCAAAACGGCCTGAAAACGTCAGCACAGAAAACAATGCATAATTGTAGTTAATTTATTCACGAGAGGCGCAATTATTTATTTTATTTTTAGTTTATATTTTTGCACTACCAGAAAATCATAAAAATGTGTATACCTATAGTTTCTATTTTCAAAAGTCTATAATTTTTTTACTAAACAAGTATCTATAGATTTTCTTTAAATGTTGAAAAACTAAAGTTTTTACTATTCAAATAATTAAATTCTTACAAGTCATAATATATTAATTCCATAAAAAATATTTGCTACCTACAGAAAAATAAATTGTTTATTAAGTGGTAATTTACAAAGGAAGTTGGAGTATTAGTGAGTTAAAAATTAAAAGATTTTTCTGCACCACCAGAAATTAAGACCAATTTACACCACTGTCTAAGTACCAAGGATGAGTTTTAAAGATTGTGTAAACCTAATTCGTTTATTTTGAATACTTTATCGTTTTTGAATTAGGTACCTCTTAGTTAACTTGTTTAATGACAAAATCACTATAACAGTTTCTAGTTTTAATAAAATAAACATACAAAATGCATAAATAAATATATGACCAAAACTACAGTCATAAAATATATTATATGCTTATATTGTAGAATTTGAAAATTAATTTTTTTTTTTTTTTTTTAGAACAATATTATCAGTTAATATCAATATTCCTGTATCTATTTTTATTTCGTTCATGCATATTATATTTTAAAGAATGTCTACATAGTGTATCGAATTTAAAACATACAATTTGAGCTGTAAGTTAGGTACGCGCAGTGCATACTATATATACGATTTGGAAAACATGCTTACTGAAAAACAATAGTTAATTTAAAACTATAATTCTTTTATCATAATTTTATCATATTATAATAATTGAATAGTTTTTAATATTGTAGTATAATAACGCAATAGTGTGTGCTTGTTGTACCGAAATACGTTCCGGTACGATGTTTTACCGCTTGGTATCCCATAACGGGCATAACGAGTACCGGGTCATTTGACGTGAATATTTTGTTAATTTTAATTCTTAAACTGATTTTATTTTTAAAGTATATTATTGCAACTAAAGTTAAACTATCTAGTTGAACAAAAAAGTGTTTGAAACTATTTTTAACTATTTACTATACGCTGAATTTAATAATATAATTATTTAACTAAACTTTTTTTATACACACAATACATTAGTACTTATGATGAAGTATTGTGAGTTCACATTAAAATGCTGAAATCGAGCGTAATGAGAAAAATGTCATTGGTACGTATTTTATTCAGTGGCCTGAATTGTATTCTCACTTCGCCCCTGATAATTACTATTTTAAGATGAGAAACGAACACCAGCAATTATACCATTTTTTATTATTAATACGGCCGGGAATAAATATAAATGCTTAAAGTTAGGACTAGACGATACATATAGAGTACAGACGGGGTTTTGTTTTACTCAAATGAGAACTTAATTTCTAATTTTTAAAACCAGGTTCGGAGTAGAGGGTATTACTATTTAAACTAATTTCTACAATTACATAAAAATGGTTTATTAAAACGTAGTAAATCTAACTTTGTACGCGTTCATCTAACATTTTGAAATAAGCCATCTATATATTTAGATTCAGAGATGTTAAAGACAAGGATATTTTTTCACGTGATCGCATTTCATGTGATTCATTGATAATGTCTGAATAAGAGAAATTGCCATCGGTAGACGAATATGATTCTAATTTGATTATTCTGGATTCCAGTAGCCATAATTTTTGACAAAAGTGAGTATTTTTATATTTTTGAAAACTAAGTGATTTATTTTATTAATATCGGATATTAGGAGGTTCTACAAATTACCAATTTTTGAGGGTAAATCAAAGTTAGAAGGTGAACACATACTACATTTTTACATCAAGACATTTTTCGGGGAGAATCCAGAGGTAGAAATACACCTACTATCAGCTGCATTTTTCTTGTAGTCACCCATAAGAAATAGAAACAGTATTTCGACAACAAGCCACCAGATAAGTCGCTTAGTTGATCTTATCTCCCTTAGTCTAAAAAAAAAAAACAATACTACCCAATAGTTTTCTTAGATGTCTCTCACGCGTTTGGCCGTGTATGATATCCAGGTTTCCTACTAAAACTTTGCGATATCCTTCCTCCTTCGTATTTTCTACTTTTTAGATCCTATTTGGATGTGAAATTTCCTTTCAGAAAAATTGCTATCATTAAAAGTTGGAACATAATTGCTGGTATAAAAGTTATCCACAAAAAAAAAAAATAATATAGTAATATTATATTAATAATATAGAAATATATTTCGTACATTTTTCCGTTTTTTTTTTTCGGTTTTCGCATTTAATGCGATCTCTCTAAAGTACCTCCCCATACCGATTTTTTTTCAAAAATGTTGCTATACCTAAAGATCGGAGCAAATGCTCTGGTAGAATAGTTTTCCACAGAAGAAAAAAATTAATAAACATCTTTGTAAAACCATAAGCTTCATCGCTCCACTCAGAATCTAAAATTAATACCAAACTCAAACTAGATATTTACAAAACGTTATTCAGACCGTTATGGTCATATGGTATTGAACTATAAATTCAGCAAAAATATCTAATACTAACAAAATCCAAGTATTTCAATCACGAGCTCTTCATACTATCTTTGCTGTATCTCCATACGTTTCCAACGACACACTTTACAAAGATACTGGTTTCCTTAAAGTTAATAATGCAGCCAAATACCATTGCAAAATGATTCGTAAGCGTCTCCACGAACATCGTAAACTTCTTATTGCTAACCTAGCTTTTTGCAATCTCCCCGAAAACCCACGCCATTGCCTAAAAAGAAACTGGTCTTAAATTGATTTAATTTAATTAAAATGTATATATCTTTTTTTACTCTTCCCCCATTTTGTTTGATTTTTCTTGGCTTATGAAATTTCGTCAATAAACGGCATCTCTTTACATGTTATCCCCCAGTTTTTTTTAATCTTCTTGTAGTCATGTGTGTTTATTAACTAATGAACAAATACTGAATGTACAGTTTGTAAAATTTAAAAACAAAAAATTTGCCAATGGACAAATAAAACACATAAGAACCATTACAAAAAACTCCTAGATGAACTGCACTAACGGACACACACACCATACAAAAACCGAACGTTCCATCTGTACGACAGATATATATCATATTATTAGGTCATTTTCGTCTGTTACAGTGAAATATGTTTAGCTTTAATCATCAATTTCATTTACCACCCATTCACTTACCAATAGCACCCCCAACTTTATAGCCTACCACATCCTATCAGTAAATTAAAAGTAAACTCTATCTAGTTAGTAAAAGTTACCAATTATTAGTTTCCATCAGAGTCCTCTGTGAGTCTTATTAAACTTCCCACAGTTTTGGAAAATTTTAATGACTTTTTCAATTATATTCATAAACACTGGTATATCTAGAAAACTTGCTTACAACCTATACGTTTTAGTTTTTTTTTGTACTAAAATAAATTCTAAACATTTAATATTCAATATTTTATTTTGTAAAACTATAATAATTTGTGTTATATTGTTACAGACCCAAGCACGCAAAACTCATCCCAACCATTTTTTATATTGTTTTTTTTTTTTTGTAAATCACATGATTTAAATATATGGCTTTGAACTGCGACTGCCACTGCCATGTTAATAATAATAACTATAATAACTAGTATAGTATAGTATAGTAAATAAGTCAACTAAAATGTACCAAAATAACTTTTTTTGAAAGTTATAAAAATGATCAGTCTTAACAATTTTCAAGGAGAAAATAAACGTTTTTATCGTCTCCGGAAAAATTTGAAATTTTAACTTAATCACGTTTCTTGCTGTAACTGTCTAATCCTATAGAAAACAGTTGATTACAATTTAAATTTGTTATAATACTATTTACTTGAACGGCTGCTTTGGCCATCCACGATAAGGCGATAAATAGTTTTTCTTTGAAATTCAAAGTACTCCCGGATGCTGCGATAATTGTCACGCAAATCCTTGTCTGAAACACAGAGTATAATACTTATATAGAAATATTAATTATACTTGTTCCGATAAATATATAATAGATAACGTGTTTTGAATAGAATATAAAAAAGAAATATGCGCATCTATTGTAGACCGTACAATAACACAGTATACCTATAGTGACCAGACATAAAATCCAAAAAATAGTATATTTTTAAATTTAGGCCCTCCATTATAAAATAAAACCATCCCTTAAAAGAGTTGACCAATGTGTATAATATTCTATCCATTTAGCCCATAGCTCATTTTTTTATCTGATTACTCTATTATTATTTTTTCTATTATCAACTATAAAAACTATGTAAAACTATAATAACTTGTGGTTATGATGTTAACAACGTTCTGTTTTTCGTCGTCTAACTGTTGCTACCGTTATCAGTCACTTGCAGACGTTTGGAATGCATTAGGTCGAACCATAAAATATTAAAATATAAACGAATAATCAAATAATACAAAATCATAAACGTGTATTAGCCCATAACATTTTCAAAAAAAAAGAGTACAATTTCACGTATTTTACGCTATTGTTAAGGACACAGAACAATGCATCATAAAAGAGTACTGTCCTACGAAAAAGAGTACGTCTGATCACCATTAGTATACATTCGGTATAGAGACGGAACTCACTCTTGATAATATTATTACTATAACGTCACGTAATATTATATTTTCGATATATTTTAAACGCTGTTGTAGGCGGACACAGGTATCTATAATATATTGAAATTAGTTACGAATTATTAGGCACGGTCGACAACCGCGGCCACTTTTATTTGTACGTGGATATATATAGGTACTTACTACAAAAGCGATGGCGATACACGCGACGGTTATTGTCACATATTTTAGGTCAAGTTCGTTGAATACAATTTGCGTGCCGGTCAATCCGAACAATATGGGTTCGCAGACCATCCAAAAAATTTCAAAAGCCGTGGCCACCGGGTTCTGCAATATGATAAGATCGATCGATATAATATTGTTACTATTATTACTAGGCAGGTAGGTACTACGCAGATCTGCGGAAAATGTAGCTCAATTTTAGTAATTAACTGAGTGTACAAATTATTGCAGAAGTAAGTGTAATAGATAGTTAGATACTTGTAAAAACATGTGACCTAGTTAATTATAGTTACCTACATTTTTTTCATTTACAAATATTTTTTTTGAAAAAATACTTTATCATTTTCAAGAGATCATTTTATTTGAGGTTTTTTATTTTTGTTTGAATCTAGGTTGCCTTTTCAACAATAGAAAATACAACTAATATAATACTACTCTACTCGGAATCGTTTTTTGTTTGCAATGATTTATCGTTACATGTATAGTATTATATACTGAATGACCCAGCTATTCATACATATTACATCAGTGGCGATGGCCACCCATGTTGCGAAGTATTTCCAGTTAAGCAGTTTCTCATTACTCTGCATTTGTAAAATACTAATGAAAATCTACACGAACAATTTGTGTCGCACTTGAAAAACTTGATGGTTAAGAAAATTTGTAATTTTCGAGGCAATATTATAATAATAGGCAAAACGAATTAATTTGTCTGTCAAAATCTTGAGTAAGCAATAATAATTTTTTATTTATTTACTTGTCATATTTAATACATATTTTTTTCATTTTTAGTGTCTAAAACAACGGGGATCAACTGAATACAAAAATTTAGTTATGACTTTTGCTGTCACACAATAATAATAATACAATAGCTATTAAATTTTGAACACTGTACGAAAATAACTTTTAAATAGGTGTTCCTAATAGCAATCTACAGAAAATCCAGGATAAATGTTGAGAAAACGTTAAAATTTCGTAATAACGATTTCCATTATATTTAATTTTGTTTTTTTATATTCTAAATTGTGATTTAATTAAAAATAGTTGTAGAGACCAGAAATATTCATAAAACATTTATATTAACTATTTCTGGACGTAGTAAAACTTTCAAAATATTCTAGCATTTCTTGAGCTATTGATACGTATTTGTCATTTTGATAATTTGATCGTAAAAATCACGGCATTTCAAAACATGTTTAACCGAACTTAGCTGCGAATCATTTTCGTTAGGAATGGTTCATCGTTGCTTATAGATGTTCATCATATTTTATAACTATATGTATCCTACCATCTCAACTTCCCATCTACAAAAGTAACACACCCATTAGTAGCATTAGCTTTTTTCGTTGGTTTTTTTTTTAATAACGATAGTTCATAAAAGTTATATAACATTCTGCTAAATTATTAATGATTTCAATAAAAAATAAATTATTTTAGTTTAACTATAATATATTGTCATATTAATGTTTGTGATCTAAGCTCCCTTTCTCCCAATTTACATTTTTACTATTTTCAACAAAATGCGAATTATGGTAGGTACCTGTGCTATTAATAATATTTTTAGTAGTTAAATTGGAAAAATTAATTTTTTTAGAATTTGAGAGTCTTTTTAAAGTTGTACAAAAATGTAATTTATATACTTAATTGTTAATAATAACATACATCTTCAATGGCCCAGCCTTGTTTGGTCCAAAAACAAATCGAAGTGAATGCGGTGATGATTACGGCCAATGGTCCGGCTCCTTCCAAGTTCAATTTTTCAAAACCAAAAACAGCCAAAAATCCTCCACCGGTTATGATTAAAATGCGTAGCGGGGCCACGTATGGCTACAAATATAAAATTATACGGGTTTTTTTAACGAAAACTATAACAATATTATTATTTAATTCCAATGTGTTATAATGCAACTTTTTTTTTTTTCCACTTTATATGCTGATATTATACCTTAAACATAAGCAAATCTAGATTAGGACTAAATGGGGATGATCCTCCTCTAAGTCAACTAAAATAGTCTTTTTTTTTTTTTATGATCGACAATAACATTATTCAAACAAATCAAATCAAATCAGTATATTACACTGTTATAAACAAAAATTAAGAATTGGTTTACGAACGATTAGCCAATAAACAAAAGTTTTTTATTTATATAAAGTCAGTCGACCATCAAGTAGACTTAGTCGTTGTCCAGTGAAAATAATGAATTCGTAATTAAATACAGTTTAACTTATTTTGAAAATAAATAATCGATTTAATAGATTATAAAATATAATCATTACCACTTATTTTACACACCAATATTATCATACTTATACACTTGTACTTGTATTTCTTTCTTTGATTCTTTGAAAACCTGTCCGCATTTCAAACGCGAACTTCGATGATTATAGTATTATGTTTCAATACAAAAAATAATAATATTATACATTTTCATATTGCACCACAAATACCAGAAAATATATTACGAGTATATCAGCGAAAGCGGTTGTGTACATTTTTATTATTTTAGGATCTAAGCGTAGCAAGAATTTATTGGTTTCTACCAGCAATTTTGCTCCAATTTACTATAATAGCACTTTTTCTGAACGGAAATCTGACTGGGAAGGTACTTTATGGAAGAAATTTTTCGATATTCCTAAGAGTTTTCCAGCAAATGTGAAAAACTGGAAAAACATGGGAAAATCTGGAAAAACGTAGTAAAACGAGAAAATCAAAACAATATTAACAAATATTATTAAAAAAAATATATAATACCTATTTAATTATTTTACTATAATATAACATCTATATTGTTGACAAAGTATCACTATCAGCTGAACTTCGCTCAGAATAGTTGTTTCGTTTTCAATGGTTTTGTCGTTGCTTACAGATATACATTAAATTCTCTCTGTATCCTACCTTACCAACTTCCCTTCAACAGTGGCTGCACTCGTCCACATTACCCAAAGCCCGATTTTTTTATTTGAAAATGCTTTTAAGACGAAATTTTGATTAAAATCGTAAATATTAAGTCTTTTAATATGTATAAACGAAGTTTGTTTAGAATCGTTTTTCATTAGCAATGGTTTATAATTGTTTACGGATATAAATGAAATAACTTTATGTATTCTACATTTCCATTTTCTCATCTAATATAATGGTGCATTCATCATCAGTATTAGCTCATTTTGTTTTTTTTTTTTAATAATTATAATATGTTCATCTAGTGGTTTATTCACATAGATTATTTAAAACCTGATATGACCCGATCAAGTCTGTCGAGCAAGTTATCGACGTAACAATAACGAATGTAATAATGATCTGACCAATAATTGTTGCTTAAGTATTATGGACCACCAAAACAAGAACGTATAAACACAATCAAACTGGAAAAAAATTAACTTTTCATAACATATAAGATGTTCCAACAAATACCAGATTACTATAATGTAAGTAGTTATTGGGTACGGGTCCCGGATTAAGATATATCTTAATTCGTGGTACAGGTTTCAATTTAAATTTGATAAGCGTACTTTTGCCACTGCTGGCTAAAAGGCACTTATTTCTACCACTAGTTGCTGATTAGCCACTAACGTTGGCACACGCTGTCTGCAAAAAACTTTCATTCGATTTATTTCGACATAGCACGATCTTTATTCTTCAACTACCGTATATAGTTATATACAGTCCACCACAGCTAAACGGTTTCTAGTGCTACTGCATAATGCCGCATAACTATATCTTATATGATATCTTTTAATACCTATGTTATTTGTCCAATGAAAAAGTGTGCCATACTCGTAAAACGGATATAGTAGATTTATATGGAAAACAACCGTAGGAAGAAAATGGATGGGACATATTTTAAGAAATAATCTATGAACAACTAGGACTATTGGGAGTTAAAATAAGAAACTATGGATAGTGGAAAATGAAAGAGAATTAACTAATCGATCAATTGAAATTAATGTGCTACCTAAACTTATAGTACACATAAAGTGAAATGAATTATACACAATTTTCAAACGATTTAATTGGCTATATATTTTTTAGTAAATTATACAAATATCGATCAAACATAAACTGTCCTCACTGACATTGCATTTTTCATATTTGTCATTTATCTTAGCTAGGCGTTCTAAAAATAAATGTAACTTAACGTAATGCCTATAATGAGTAACTAGAGTCAACGTCGACTAGCCATTTTCTATAGCACTCAAATATCGTTATTGGTGGTAATATAATTTAGAATATAATTTTTTTAACAAACGGATAGATTAGCTCATGACTTAAAACTAATGAAAAAAAGCAAAAATGTCCATTTCTATACAACCACGAGTCATATGAAAATACACTATTAAATCGAATCCTGTATAAAAACATTAGTGGAAATAGGTATGTAACGACCGAATACGATGCCGTACACTAATCCATTGGCAGTGTGAGGTTAGCATATTGAGTGTATCTAACCTAACCTAAACGAGTGAGAAAAAAATATTATTATCAAATATACTTACGTCGGTACGTTCGGGAATATATTTAACGACGCAGCCCAAAACCAAACCGTACGTTATTCCGGCCAATATCGACAACGGACTTATTAATAAATTATAAGTAACCGAATCTGGAAAACGTAAAAATTGTAAATTTTAATTAATAATTAACGCTATATTAAAAAAAAAAAAAAGCAAAAAGAAAAATCAAATCATAATACTCAATGTAGGTACTACGAAAACTTTTGAAAACAATACACCGCGAAGGACCGAACGAAAAATGTCCGTTTCCGTTTAAACAGACGGTAATGGTACGTGTGAAATTCGATTTTTATTTATATTATTCATTTTAGATCTCGGAGTTTTAAGTCGTTTAAGTTGGTATTTTTCGCAATGTTTTTTATTATTATTAACATACGTACTTTTTCCAAAAAGCATGCTGGTTCCTACTCCGAAAGCTATGACGGATAGCGCGTCGTCGATTCCAGCGACCGCAATGATTAGTGTCGGGATGCCTTTGGCCACGCCGTAGCCTTTTGATTTTAAACGAAACAGACACGGCACGACGACGGCCGGCGATACGGCCGCGATTATCGATCTGTACGAAAAAATTTACCATCGTAATAATTATTAATATCCGGTGAATTTTGTAGTAAATAACACAATTTTTTCCAAGTAAAAAATTATAATAATTATGAATAACATTAAACTCGGTTGTGGAACTTTTATTTTAATTTTACAAGGAATTTTAAGGCGTAGTATTGAATGTATTGGTTTTTAATATTATCTGTGCTTATTTTTTTTTCCGAAAAACGTACAATTTTATGACAGTACAAATTCTCGATGTTTTTGACTTTATTCTCACGTCAGAAATGTTGTTTCAAATTTCAAGAATATCATCTTATACAAAAGAAAATGTTGTCTTATTATTAGTGTGTACAAAAGTCGTTTTTTTTTATTTTCTTAGTACTTTAGATAATAAGAGATAACGAGCGTCTTATCAAGAATCAATCACAATGTATTTTAACATCATCAAATTAAAAAAAAAAAAACAGTTTAGAACAAATTTTCTGCTCTAGACTTCAGATTATTATTACTATACACAGCCAGACGTTAAATTCATCGTTGATTCACATGAGCCGTTGTTTTTCGTAGAATTTTTGAATTTTTTGAGTTAGAAAAGTCAACTTTTAGCGCAACATAATAAAAATAATAATAATAATACGTTACCCGCAGAGCATGGCGAACGGCCACGGTAAGCCCAATAGGTAATACACGGATACTGAAATGACGGTCAACTCGGCACACCATGGGACGATAGCCAGGAACATCACTCTACAGTATAATTTTTTCAACGCCACTGGATCCAAATCCAATCCCGCTCGAGTAAATATCACCATTAATGCTATTTTTCTGAAAAAAAAAATGATTCCTCAGTGTACAAACGCATTTCACGCGCGTTAGACGCTATAACGATACTATCCAGATTTTTGTTTTGGTAGATGATTTATACATTCTTATCGAATTTTCCCCGAAAATAGATACTATTACACTCTATTTTGCCTGTTATACTTATTTATTTATTTGAATTACACAACCCAATTACAAGTGTAATAACAGATGTACAGTGTTCAGTTATATTTAGTAAAGGCATAATGTGTATAAAGTAGATAATAAAAATACATATATTATATATAACTTACTCCCATTACTTTTGATATTTCTAACTGCTTCTTCTAGACCAAATTAGTTCAAACTCGGAAATTTAAGATTTTCAGGGTTAGTTATTTTATTGGCGGATTGAAGTGACACAAGTTTCGTTGAATTTCATTGTGAATTTAACTATGGTTTTGCGGGAGAAGTGTTTGTTCGGTCTGAAAAACACTACATACCCCCCCCCCCCNCCCCCCCCAGTTAAGCTAGAAGAATGCAATTTTGTACATGCATGTTAATTACTAGTATAAAGGATGTTCCTTTTTTTTTTTCTTTTTTGGGGGAGGTAGTATGATTTTATTTGTCTATTATTCTATAGTATTCTGTTAGGTATGTAGTGTTTTGCAAAATACTATAATACAATAGGTGGAGGAAAATTTAACTCTAGTGACGGAGCTCTACTACTAGATTTTATTGCTCGTTAAATTAGCTATAATGGTTCTACTTTTGAAAACAAAAATACAAAAGGATGATTCGGAACTCCGGACGCAATCGCACTCTTGACTTTGGAACAAAACCACTACAATATACTTAAAACCATTATAATTCTAGGTATGTTGCTGCCCATAGACCGAACAAATTTATCTCTGCATAACGATATAGCCATACAGACAGAGGCGTTCTCAGGATTTTTTATTGGGAGGGGATATGACAACATATATTTAATAATTACATGTTATAATTTTAATTAAAATATTGAACTTACGAAATTATATCAATTGTTCTTAATTTTTGAGTCAGTAAAGGTACATCAAAAACTTTTTTGAAAAAAAATAGAATATACTTGAATTAGTTGAATTATTTCGTTTAATTTTGATCAAATATACGTCGTCAATACACTATAGTTATCAGTTACATGTTGCAAAATGTCAAAGTCTCATTAACAATTGTCATTTACTAAATTTTTCGTTAAAAACGATTCATAACATCAAAAAAAATAAAAATAAAAACCCGCAAAAGTATGTCAAAACTTTCATCACTATTTTATGGTAGTATCACGATATTAATATATTATTTATATCAATTATACATGAAGATGAACTCAGCTGATTATAAAACCAGACCCACAATAAAGATATTAATCTGTAACCACAGAAATATAAATTACAAACACAGACTGTAACCGTGCGTGGTCTGTAATCTGTATACGAATGTTGAAGAAATGATAACAAGTTAAAAAAATGGTTATTGACTATATTTATTTATTTGATTATTATCTCTAAATATCAGTTAAACAGGAAACTCCATATTACCTATAAAAAAGAAAAGGCTATAGAGAGGAAATCTATTCCACATACACCCCCCCCACGGGAAAACGCAAAAGGAATATAGACCTATGTAGGTTATCCTATAACGACCCAATTACATTTTACTCCATACATTAATTGCGTCGTTTATCAATAATATATGCAGCGTTTTGCATTTTTCACGCGTTTAGGAAAACAATAACGCCACATTTGAATATCGCATTGTATAATTTTACGGAAAACCGTAAAATAATATTATAATGTTGGAATTTGAATTATAATATTCTAAAAATTCAAAACCAGCATGTTTAATTTTCATTTTATCTCTAGGTTATATGTTTTTTTTAAAAAAAAGTAGATGACGCAGTTAGTCAAAAAATATAAAACAAAATCTAAAAAGCGGTCAATTGAAATATGAATTCGATTATACAAATTTTCAGATGACCCGCTATGAAATGGAACATGTGTTTTTAAGAGTTTTTTGTCTTCAATTTTCCGTATTCTACTATACAGGGTTTTTCAAATTTCACGTTACAGTTTTAAATGTACGAGTGCACGTGTACTCCATACTTTCAATCTCAAAATAATAACTAATACCTACATAATTTGGAAAGTCAACCTCTAGAAATAAAGGATAAAATAGAGTGGAAAATAATGATCTGGCCGAAAATCATGTGGCCGCAGAGTCAAATTTTCTCTTAATATGGTTTTATACATGTATATTTGTAATCTATTTTATAGGTATGCGCACGGGAAATGCCTTTTATGGCAATCCTTAGTTTTATTTATTACTTGTTCAAAATAACTAATTTTAACTAATTTTTTGACAAATAAGATTTTATTTTGTCTAATAAAATATTATATTTTACGATATGAGGACGTAGGAGTTTGGAAATCAGATATCAATTTAATTTCGTCATAGATAATAATTTTAAGAACATGATAATGTCTTAATATCTATAGGTATGAATGTGAAAGTTAAATTATATTTTTATATGTACATGCTGACATTTATTTTATTTTATGGATTGTACTCGTATTAGGCCACCCGTGAATAAATTAATTACAAATTTGTTTTATTTGAGTACCTAAACATTTTTCTCTTTATGAAAAAATAAATCAACTGTAAATATTATTTAATTTCATTTTACAATATTAAAAAATATTTTCATTTTTACGAAGAAATAACAATGATTATTAGTATTTAATCTTAATGCGAACAGCGTGCTTGTTTTTCATTTAGCAAGTTGACTGCTTTCATTATTATTCATTATTTGGCACTTACATGGTTTGTACCCTAGTCACTCATATTTTTGATTCTGAGCGGAGCGAGAAATGTATTGATTTTACAATGGTGTTTTTTTTTTTTCAATGAACAAGTTTTCCATCAAAAATGTTTGTTCCGATTTTCAAGTGTAGCATTTTTTCTGAAAGGAAATTTGACGAAGGTGGTACTTTAAGAAGGCAATTTTTTGATTTTCCCAAGATTTTTCATAATAAATGAAAAAATACACACAACACACAAAGCTTTGTTGGCAAATTCGGGGTAGTTTTCTTTAATGTTATTCCAAAATCCTAAAAATGATAATTAAGACAATTTTATTCATAACGAAGAATCAAATGTAATTTCTATTAATAGTTGTTCTTCTTCTGTAGTTGTGAAATTTGATAATAATTTTTCAATAAATGGGTCTTTAATCTAATTGTAATGCTTGATTTCTTCTATAAAATATTTCACGAAATTACTTTTAAATGTCATCAGATGATCAGAATTATTGTTATTGAACTCATCAGTAACCCAATATTATTATATCTTCAAGAAAATATTTTAAAAGTGGAAAACAAGTGTTTTTACCATTTTCTTTGCCATAAGTCGAATTTTTAATAAAAGTTTCCACTTTATCATATAATTGCAGAATATGAGTTTCTTTATTTTCTTTTCTTTATCTGTAAAGATGTATTAAAAATATTAAGTTTTCAAAAATGTCACAGAAATATGATAATTTGATTATAAAATCACATTTCAACGAAATTATTATTGATCTAAAAATATCAATATTTATCTCGCGCCTCCCAAGTGAGTCATGCCTCACAATTTGGAAACCGCTGACCTACACTAAAACCGGCTGTAAGGAGTCGAAATTAAGGGAACGTGATACTCGCATTATATGTGCTGTCTCAGTCTTACAAACGTATGACATCAAAAATGTGCGTTCAGCAAGAACATGTTGTTGTTTAAATATTAGAGAAAATTGACCTATTATCAAATTTAAAGATAAGAATATAATGTACAGAGATTTAATACACAATATTAAATTGTGATAGTTAACATACTTTCTTAAAAATTAAAATATCGTCAACGTTGCATAGATTATGTTCTTATCTTTAAGTTCGATAATACATAGGTCAATTCATTCTAATATTAAAACTTATAGCACAATTTTGTCTCTGCTGAACGTAAACTTGCTATATCGTACGTTCCTAAGACAGAGTTAACATATGCAAGTGGCACGTGTTCTTTATGATTTCAACTATTCTAAGACCATGTCTGTAACAGTATAGTGTAAGGATACGAACACGATATCCTATATCATCCCATTGGTAATGTAAGGTTAGCATATTGAATGTGTATGATATTATAGACAAGTAGGAATAAACAGCGAAATGCTGACTAAGTGTTTTCGGCGTGCATCCGGAGGACGGCGGTAGAAACGTGGTGGTAGTCAAGAATGGTACAAAAAATAGAGAGTACACATTTTTTCCCCGAAAACAACATCACCTCAGGGAGTAGCGGTCAACTACAGCTACAGGAAATCAAGAAATCATAGGTTACACTCACGGACCTCATTGCCCTAAACTAAACATCCTCGAGATATAAGATTGTATAACAGTAATATATAAGTTTATACTAAGTATATAATCGTGTCTCGTGTCAACATTACAAAGGTTACCTCGATTCATAATATGAATATCACACACCGAGGTCCGAGGCTCGAGAATTCATTAATATAAACAAAAGCTGTCCTAGGATAGTGGGGACGGATGCAGCCACTGTTATAGGCAATTTAATTTAAGCAACGATTTCTAATGAAAAGACGATTCTGAGTGAAGTTCGATTGATAATGTTGTCAACAGTTAGGTATGTATTATATTATAATAAAATAATTATATATGCATTATGTATATTTGTTTAATATTGTACTTATTTTCCTGTTTTTTCTATGGTTTTCCCGTGTTTTATCCCGGTTTTTTCCATTTAATGAGAAAACTTCTGGGAAAATCAAAAAATGAATTTTTTAAAGTTCCCAGTAGATTTGTTTTCAGAAAAAGTGCTATATTTATAAATCGAAATAAGATTTCTAGTAAAAAAGTTATACTTGTACAGGTATAAAAAAAAAAATTCCTTGCTCCATTCAGAATCTAAAACTGAGACGTGTCGCCATATAGACCGAGAGAGGGAACGTTACAATAATTTGAAGTACAGTGACAAGCGGGTTCTCACCTCAATACGGACGAGAACTCCTTATACTTGCCCTCTATATGAATAAAACCAATGTTCTGGTAAAACATGCCGACCAGTAGCATACCGACGAGCGCGGGCAGGGTGAGCATGCGAAAAACCCATCCGCCCAGGTACGCGGACACGACTAAGACGGCAATGTTGAACAGCTGTCCTCCTGGCTTTGCGTCCGGTCCCATTATGGCGAACACGACACCCCACAGCGAGAGGACGGTGACGAGCAGTGCCAGTATGCGAGCCACGTGTCGGAAAGATGGCCAGTATGGGTGCGGGAATGTCCTGGACCAATGTTTGGGTTCCCATCCTGGTCCCACTTCCTTCTTCCGGCACTTTAGGCAGAACACATACCACCACGAACTGCGGAACGACACAAAAAATAAGACATTTTTTACTAACTATTTTTCAAAAATATAGTATCAAAAAATTCAATGCCGTACCTGGGGTGGGCAGGCGAAGAGGACATTCGCCCCACACCCCTCGGTGGGTCGTATAATTATATGTATGCATTATTATTTGTTTTTAGTGTTTTTACAATTATTTTGGATTTTTTTTTCATGAAATAGTTAATAATATTTTAACATAGTTATTTTTGTTATCTATAGTCGAACCGGGTCAATGTTTCTGGTGTTATCATTTCTTTTTGGCGGTTCAACCGTTGACTCCTATCATTGATTCCTAGTCACAAAATAAATGTGCCAAAATCGCTTATGCAAGCTTGCACTGTTGCATATTTACCAGGAAATAAATGTACCAGTGGATATTAGTATTAATAGATTTTCGAATGTGTCGAACGAAACTTGGTTATCATCGTCATACTATACCGGACGGCAATAAAACAATATTATAATAGGTAATCGTAATAATTCATCAGCATTAGTGGCTGAAAATTTATATTTTTAATAAATATGCAATTAAATAATTACAGACAATGTTAAAGAGCGTTTTACATACAAATTATTATAATCGTCACTTATTTTACCGTAGTGCAGCTCTACACTACAGGTATTATATTATGCAATAATTATAATATTATTTTTATGATTATTCGGTATAATATTCATTATGTATGGCGACGGCGAGAGCGTAGCATTTGCATATAAAACAAATATGTGTTTATCAGTTAAATATTAATATTATTAATTATAATAATTAATATACGGACTGTTTATGCTATTACCAAGTTATTACAACGCTTAGGTAATTTATTTTGTTTCAACATAATTATTATATCTAATAGTCATTATACCGTGTATTCACACACGCGCACACACTCGTGTAATATTATAATATGTCATATTTATGGGACTATTTGATAGGTACCTAACCTAAATACAGGAAAACGTTAGTCCGGAAAAAATTTGAAAAGAAAAAAAATGATTCCATATGCTATTTGTTATTATACTCTAGTGCAGGGGTGGCCTACCCAAACGACCTTGCGGGCCACTTTGAAAACGCTTTATAATCCCGTGGGCCACAAAAATAATTATATATCTCTATACATTGGACCAAATACAAAAAAAAAAATGTAGAATAAAAATTTTAAAAAGAATGATTTATTATTATTGTTTTTATTATAATTCAAAGATATAATACATAAGCATAAATAATATTATAGTAATGTTAATAAAGAAATGTTTGACAATAGGTAGTTATAATTTATTTGATTAACGAGTTAATATTTGTTTCCACTCTTTCGCCAAACTTTAACTAATCTATATCTATGCGTGTATTTGCACACCGTAATAATTAGTGTTGTAGGTCTTCGTTTGTTAAGTATATGTGTGATTTATAAGAATTTGGTGAATTTTATTGCCGAAGATAATGTTGGTTTAATTGGTTATTTCGGTTTTGTCGTTTTGAATAGTTCTAGAATATAGTTGGTCATGAATGTAAATAATTTAAATAAACGTACAATATACAATAATTATGTAAATGTGTTACTATAAAATAACAATAATTAATAAGTGAAAAAATACACACACATCAAAGTAAAACAAATAGATCACTCGCTACGCTCCGAATCTAAAATAATATATAGTCAAAATATACTTAAAACGCATATTTTATACAACATTTTACAAATGTAATTTAAAAAATATTTTTTAAAGAGACAGACATACATAACTTGACCATATTTATGTCGAAAATTATAATTTGTATGCGTCAGATTTCAATAAGATGTGTTGTGTTATGTATAAATAATAATTATTAAGTTCATGTTGTATATGTTTTGTGCGCAATATAAAGTTACAGATAAGTTATATCTAAACACAAAATAAAAACACCCTATCCTAAAAAAAAATCCTTGCGACACCACCCATGGCTAATTAGAAAGTATCTAGTCGGATATTATTAATCGGAAACCAAGCATTGAAGAACAGTAGGATTGGTATCACTTGCTTCTATGACTTTTTCTGATTTCATTTGTTTTTATAGATTCTCTATACAAATTATAAAAACCAGGGTTACCAATCCTTTTTCTCTTCAACGCTCGATTTCCGATCAATATTACCAGTCTCAATACTTTTTGATTAGCCGTTGTATTTCTAACATATTATTTTACTGCTTGGAACGTGAAACAATACTTATTTATTTATTTTCCCGAAATCGACCTGGACGTTGATGTGGAAACACAATAACCGGTAGTAAGTACCTATTATTATAACTCAGAATAGGTACCTAGCACGATTCGCAATGTGGTTTCCGGGGATGAGAGCAACTGTATCCGAATTGGGTCCCGGATCCAAGAGGTTTTGATAGGTAGGATACTAGTTGGGTTCCAATGAATTTTGGGTACTATGCTAATTGGGTCCCGGCTTTTGGTAGGTTATATACTAGTATTGGATCCATACGTTTACAAGCAATAAAAACAATTTTTCTTTTAATTTATACAGATTTAGGACAATCAATGATTTTTAGTTTTAAACATAATACATAAATGATTAAAAATGTTTTGTTTTGCTAGATGAATTAATATTTTTGAAAACATTCAGAAGGTGGCCTCCAGTCATTCAATGAATACAAATTTAATATAATATAAAAAAAAAAAAATTAAAAATGGTGTTATTTGATTTAATTTAATAACAATGTACTAAATTTACTGAGGTAAAAATGTATAAGAGAGCGTTTTAACCAAGTCAAAACGATTTATGTTGCCAATTTTGTTTTAAGTCAGTTTTCATTTATAAAATGTTCTCTTTGTAAAACACATTCCCATCGTTTTTCTCCATACTTCTCATTTTGATGTATCTAAGCGTGTTTTTTAGTACTTTTTAGAACTTATATTTTACTCACTATTCACATGAGACTCAACTAGTGTACAACCTGCTAAACCCAACTAGATCGGATTTTTGAACGCGGAACCCAACTCGAATGCGTCGCTTGGATCACGTCACTCGGGATTCCAGTTGTCCTGACCTTGTGGAACTATTATTAAGTTTTGGGATGTCATTCGGCCACTTAATACTTAATACTTTGAAAGTCTATAATGGATTTAGGAAAAAATTAGGCTCTAAAATATATTATTTCATATCCTTCACAATAAAATCTTATGTATACTTCTGTCGTAAGCCTACTCTGCCAGGGAGAAAAGTACTTGCTAACATGGTGAAATTATCAGGACTTCGATATTCTGGTGCCTGAAAATTAACCTGGTGATTCAGCCACAAGACTCCAAGCTGGTGGGTTCGTGCATCATCTGACCGAGAATAGAGTTTCCGAACGAAATACTAGACTGTTGAGTGCTCATCGGGTCGTGAAGAGCAAGGGCAAGGTAAGCTCCCAAGCTGACGGGCTTTGTCAGACCGCCAAGACAACAACAAAGATGATAATGACTTTTTAGTGTAGTTTTTATTTTTACAGTATCTTAACGTATTGTATGGTTTATTAAATGTGACCTACCCCATGAACGGGAATTCAAGTTTTGACTCATTAATTGTATCAAAAAACAATAAACGATGGCAACAGTAGATATACAGTGTAGCAATATGAAAATAGATCCCCCCACTGATGTTTTTTTTTGGGGGGGGGGGTACTTAGTATCTCGTCGATACGATTTATAATATTACTATTGTAATACTAATAATAAGATTTTACGGTTAATTTTTTTATTATAAAATGTATGTCTATTGCCAATATAACATTAAAAGAAATTTACAAATTTAATAATGGTGGTGAATAAATGCATACAAAAATAATATTAGTTTAATATTATACATTATTCTTTAATTGATCAAAAATGAACATAATTTATTTTTTTAAAACAAAATGTATAGGAAATTAAAATAATTTACTCATTATAAAAACACCACGTATCATGCCGCCACACAATATTCTCCCCTAACTCCCAACTTAAAAGTGGAATATCTCGTCAACGTATAGACGAAAATCAAAAATTGTGATACCAAAATTTATTTTAACTAATACTTCATCTATTTATGGAATTTTGAATATAGGTTGCCATTTGAAAATAAAAATTAGGTAGTTATTTTATCATCAAAATTAAGGGTGACAAAAAATAACATAAATGAGTAATTGTAGAGTTGCTTGTTTCTATAAAACAAATTACAAAAAAAGTTAATAATTTCGGAGATTATGAGTTTACCCACTGGCCATTTAAATGGCACACATAACACCTTGCGTACATATAAATGTATAGTATACTTATACATCTATACCTTAGAGAACGTACAATGCCATAATGCCCTAACCTTATAAGAAGTTTTTATTTAATTTGTGTATGTGCCTACTTACTTCGTAAAACAAAGCAAGAGTCTTCCAGCAAGACTAAGACCAAGACTGACGTTTTTGACCAAGGCCAAGACCAAGATCGTGTCTATAAAAAACGACACCAAAACCAACACTACCTTAGCCTTGGTCTTGATCTTCGTTTCCTTATCACTAGACCGAAATAAATTGGTCCTATAGAAGCCAAACAAACTAAAATTATAACTATATAAAGATTTAATTCGAGGTTTAAAACATAAAAAAAGTATTATATTGATTAATAACGAAAAATTCGACTGCCCTCTTTGAACTTTTATTTTTACATGATTTCTAATAATGGTATAAAAAAGGTAAAAACTAACTTAAAAAAACAAAACAAAACAAATTACAATGTTCATGACTAAACTATTGGTTTCGCCACAAATTGTAGGAAAAGATTTCCTCGTTCCAACACAAAAGTAACAATCGAAATCTGACCATTCTACGAGGCATTTCCCGTGAAGTATCATATGATCTACCAGTGAAAAACCGGGCTGGCACCATTGGGCCTCTAAAGTTTATGTATATTTTCGAAAAAAATGTAAAAAAAAATCATCTCACCACGTCGTGCTTTTCTATTATCACTGGTGTATAATAAATGATAATATCAGTACCATGATGATACAGACAGGTACACTTGAAAAAAGATTATAGGTACCTACTTTTTCGATTGGTCGTCGTCGTTCGCGGCCGCGCCGCCGAAATTGAACTTAAACACTTCGTCGCTAGTTTGTTCGACATTTATGGCGGACACGTAATCCGTATCGCGCGTTTTGCATGGAGGAGAAGAATTCATTTGGAACAAGAAAAATGCGCGACCTCGTTAGATAATGTTAGGTGAGTATAAATTATAATAAAAATAACCACTAATATAACGAAAAACAATATTGAACTTATCGTTGCGATAACAGGAGGTAAGTATAGTTAGGCAGGTACGTAATAATAACAATAATAATAATAAAATTATTATTATTATTATTATTATTATATATTATACATAGATAATTTACAAAATGATGAACTACACAAAACGCCGGTTGTATAGTAATGCTATAATAGTAACGTTATTTTGCATAATATATTAAACGCGTGCCCTCTTCTGTGTGTAGGTATCACACACACACGTACACATCCCGCGTGTGTAAGTATAATAAACCAATAATTTCGAATTATGTTTTTTTTTATTCCAGTTAAACGCGCGACTTTATTTTTGTAAATTTTTTTCCGTATTTTTTTTTTTTTTTTGTAACAAATAAATTATACGAAAAAACACCTGTTTATTTGTTTGTTGCTTTTTTTTTTAAACATTTTTTTTTATTGAAACGGCCTCGACGTGTAGCGCGCACGAAAACAAACCACGACGTTTGCGATAACAATAATTATAATTATTGTAAAATATTACCTAATATATATTATGCTTGTCACAAAAATAATATATTATTATATTGTACTACACTGCCACATAATACAATATAATTTAATCATACGTATTTTTTAACATTCATTCTGTGCATTTCTCATCGTCAGATTATGTATTGGGAATATTATTACCACGGATTGCGTATAATATCGCGTAGGTTCAAAACAACGAAAAACCCGTTTAAAAAAAAATAAAGGATAACCCTGAAAGGAACACTTAAAAAATATTTAAGTACATAAAAAGCTAGAAAAAATCATATTTATTTTTAACTAAGTACCTATCAAAATAAGTGAAAACAAATATTTTCAAATTTCATAATTTAACCATTGAATCTTTTTTAAACTTTAATCGATTAATAAGAGTTGGATAGTAGAATACAAAGGCAAAATGATTTAAAAATCGTATACAATGCAAAATCCAGGTTTTATCAGTGGGTTACATAATCACAAAATAGAAAATATACACTCACAAAAAAACCACGAAAAACGAATAAAAAATATTTTTATTTTTTACTATTAAACAAATAAGCATAAAAGGATGAACATACTCCGCACGTGGGAGGGTCACTTTTGTATCTTGTAGGTGAGAAGTTTGGAAAGTAAAAGAGAAATTGAATTTATGTCTGTACGCAACGATTAAACATTGCAAACAAAAAACGATTCTGAACGGAGTTCTGTTAATAGTGTTGCTTTGTCAGTATAAATATATACATGTATCATATTGTCGTCAAATAATTGCGTATGCATTACGCATTATGTATTTTCTTTAATGATATTTATCTCACTTATTGTCACGGAAAGTATTCAGTTTTTCCGGAATTTGTTTTTTAGAACATTTTAGAAACAAGCAACAAACTCTACAATTTCATATCTATGTTATTCTTTGTCACCCCTATTTTCGGGGATAATACCACTCTAACCACTATCTACTTTTGATTTTCAAATAGCAAAATATATTCAAAATTCCATAAGTAGGTGAATAAGTTAAAATAAATTTTAGTGTTTTAGAAATCATTGATTTCCGTCGATCAGACGACAAGATGTTTCACTTTTAAGTTTTTGTTGGAAGAGAGTAGTGGAGTATCATTTGTATGGCGATACGGCGCGCGGCGTGTTAATAATGTGCCACTACTCTCCTCCAACCCAAACTTAAAAGTAGAACATCTTGTCAACAGCTGAACAAACAAGCTGTACTAAATTTTGCCATTTAAATTTTTTTTCACTTTCATTTTTGGGGGTGAAACGACTACCTACTTTTGATTTTCAAACGGCAACCTATTGTATAAACCAAAAATGTTGCCCAAAAATTAAATGAAAAAAAAAATGTAAATGTTAAAATTTAGTACAGCGTATTTCTTAGATGTTCTTTAAAATAAATTTCGAAAAAAGTTAACACTTTCCGAGATAATGGGTGTCTTACGATAGATTTATCACCCCGTATATATCATACTTTTGTAAAATAATTACATGCATTCAACATTTTTATCAATAATTTAGTTTAATATCATACCTATTTTCCCGTTCTTTTCCATGTTTTTCAGAGCTGCTTAATTCTAAAATTGTCTATAAAACAAATGTCAAAAGTTAATAGTTTCCGAGATAATGAGTATCCTATGATAGATTGATCACTCTATATATTGTTGGCAAAGCAACACTATCAACTCCGTTTAGAATCGTTTTTCGTTAGCAATGATTAAAATGCTTACAAATATACAATAAACTACCGTTTATATCCTACTCACCCAATTTCCCACCTACAACTGTGGCTGCAGCCATCACCTAGGACAATTTTTTCTTACAATTCTTAAAACAATTGGAAAAATCAAATAATAATCTCTTTAAAGTACCACTTCAATCAAATTTTCTTTCAGAAAAATTGTTTTCATTATAAATTAGATCAAAATAGCTGGTAGAAAAATTGATCAATAATAAAAAAAAAAAATGTTTAAAAAGAGCTGATACTGTAACACTGATACATAATACATAAACTGATACATTAAACCATTTAATTTATAACTGAAACAAAAGATAAAATATTACTAACGAAATACGATTTAAAATGAAATTCTGACTTCACCATTATTCTTAAATTGGCAATACATAGTATGATACAATTGAAAAATTCGCATAAACACCCAATAACTAGATTTGTTCCACATTATTTTTTGTTCAAACGATTTTCGTCAAAATTTGATATTAAAATTTCGTTTATAAAAAATAAAAAAATACTACATAAAACTCGATTTTTTTTTCTATAACAAAGTACGACATTTAAAAAACCTGTCAAATTTTCGTAAATTTCCCAGTTCTTTTTACTGTTTTTCGGTTTTGCTCAATTATTTTAAAAAAATTCAAAGAAAATTAAGAAACGACTTTCTTGGCCACCAAATAAATTATAAATTTAAAAAAAAAAACGGTCTCTTTTCGTTTTTCTATTGTAGCAATATTTTTTGTAGATATTATAAGCCGTACGAATTATAAATAATTAAATGTTAACGCCGTAAATTTTTCAGTTTTCAATTTACATTTTTTTTCCGGTTTTTCTAATTATTAATAAAACTACAGAAAAAGTCAAAAAGCGAATTATTTACTCATTAACTAGATTAAAAATTCAACAAATTAAGGTCTGCTAGTTGTTTAACTATTGGAGCAATATTTATGGTATAAATCATTAGTTGTATAGTGCACAAATTTAAAATTATCGAATCATTGTGCCATAATTTGAAAAAAATCATATATTTTGTCTTTTTGATTTTACCTAATTATCATGCTAAATACTTAAGGTATCCAAAAAAAATCTTCTCCGTCAGTGGTTCTATGTTAAAATTAAAAGGAAAGAATCAATATCTTGTAAATTTTCGTTTGAAAAGTTATGCTCAACATATTAAAATAATTATAACGGAACACTACGTTGCCGTAAATATTAATCAGGTTTAATTTAGTAAATTAAATTAATCAATTGGTTTTTTTCTCAATTATTACAAAAACTACTTAGTATTTCGACAAACGACTAAGTCTGTCAGTAGTGAAACATTACAAGGAACAAAATCGGTATCTTGTAATTTTTAGATTAAAGTGTTATTTCTGGTAAAATTCAACATGTTAACATAATAAAAACAGTGAAAACGGTATCGCCGCAGTGCGTTATAAATATTACGTGCGTTTCTCCAGCCCCCTCCTCCTCATCGGCTTTTTGATTTTTTTTTTTTTTAATCTATCATTTAGTACTGATTTTGTACGAATTTGTACGACTAGTTGTAGACTATTTACAACAACCCTTCATCTCTAAAAACATGGTTTATCGTTAGTCACGTTACCCCTACAGTATAAAATATTTATTTTTTTCGCAAATCATTTAGCACTTATATTTTACGAATTTTTGCGATCATAATTTTAGAGCAATTCGCAAAAAACCTGGAGTCCTGGAGAAACCCCCTATCAAATAGTATAAACTATAAATACTTATGAATTACTTATAAATTATTAGTACTGGTTACTACGTATATTATCTACTCAGTATATAAATCTAACCTATTACTCATATATTTTTATTAAAACATCCAGAGTTCTAGTTTAATCATTGTTTTATTAAAAGGTAGATACGACTGATCATGAATTCTTTGTGAAAACCTTTTGGTTTTTATCTCCGCGTAACCGTATTATTGTTGGGTTTTTTTTTTTTAATTAAAATATATCAATTAAAAATGTATGTAAAGTTCTAGCGACTCCATTAAGCATGTTTTTGGCGGAAATAGAGAGTTAACACAGTTTATACATGCAAATTACAAGAATTACAAAGAGTAGTCAAGATTTTTATATACAAAATACAATTATTCAAACTATTATTTAATTATCATTTACATTTTTGACACCATTTTAAAACTAATTATGAGGCTAAATATGAAAAGCACATAGAATAATTAAAATATTCAAACATTTTTTTTTAATTGAAATAGTAGCTATGATATTCATAGCTTAGGTTTTGGTATGCTAAACAGAGTCATTATTTTTTAGGTTTAAGAGTAGCCACTTATTTACAAACCTGTATTTCATCCTGTACGTCATACACTACACCTATCATTATTAATTAATATTCTTAATATTACTATATATTATTATTATTATTATTATTAAATTGTTATTAATGCCACCTAGATAGTTCATTTTTGTTAGATTTCGGTGATGTACAGTTTATTAGATTATCTGAATATTCTGGGAATCGTCGACATAATAATATACTAAGGCTATCAAAAAAAAACGGCATAAACGGTCTCTTCAAAATAAATTTATTTTGACATTTGATCAAAATTACGCTCGTTTGTGACTGAACTGAAAGTTCATAATTGAACGGGGGTTTATTTTTATGTAGCAATAAATTAAACTACGAAACTACAACCACAGGAAATTATACAAACAGTACTTAAATTTAAAGATGGAGTGATTACTGAAGTTAATGCAGTGACGGATATCGGATTTTCTCATAGGGGAGGAGGGATATAAAATATTTTCGTACATATAAGCTTTATTCTACTAAAGGTTAAAGGTTTAAAAGCATAAAGAATAAATCGTACTGCCAATTTTTGGAAGCGAGCTACCTACTATTCTATATCCCGGGGTATGATATAAGTACGAGGTGTGTAATCTACTAGAATAGGTACCTTAGCAAACTCAAGCTATCTAGCTAGAAATATGTATCCTTCTTAGTTACCAAATAATGAAAACTAAATTATAAAAAAAGAGCTGATAATGGGAGCAGCTACTGTTGTAGATGAGAAGTTGGAAAGCCAGGATACATAAGGTTATTTCATTAATATCTATTGAGAAACCATTACTTGACGAAAGACGATTCCGGTAATATAGTTCAGTAATACATAATTTGAAGTGCTGTATTTTGTTTGCGATTTTCGTTTAAATTTGAATTCAAAACACTTATAAAAAAAAAAGTCATCCGATGATTTTAGAATTTTTACCACATCTAGGTAAATGTAATATAAGTATTATTACCAAGTCTCAAGTCTCTACATGTATTTATAACCGAATTACAGCAGAAAAACTCCCAAAAATTAAAATTCCCTAAAATCTCAAACGTAGCTCAAAAGTTTTGGCGGTGGTACCGTAATAAATTAAATAAAAAGGCAACAAAACAGGTATCTTGTGATTTTTCGATTAAATCATTTTTTCTGGTAGAAAACGTTCGTGTTTTTATAAAATAATAAAATTGTGAAAAATTACGTTTTCCTAAATTTTTTTCCCACTTAAGTGCTTTTATTTAAATAACGTCGAAAATTAAAAATGACATCATCAAAGTACAATCTAGATAATTTGAGCTTTCAGAAAAGTTGCTACGCTTAAAAATTGGAGCAAGTTTACTAGGAAAAAACGTGTCCACAGACTAGAACAAAAAACAAAGAAAGAAAAAGAAAAAAAAGGAACAAACAACATTTTTTTCTTTTTACAAAGGAACAAACAACATTGTAAAACCAATGGCTCCCTCTCTACGCTCGAAATCTAAAATTAGTTTTTATTTAAATTGTGAAATTGAAATCATTATGACCAGTATCGCCTTAATCAAGATGCCAATCATGAGAAACAATTGGTGATTTATGATTTAGATTCTAAGTGGAGCGAAGAAGCTTATGGTTTCACAAAGATGTTTATTTATTTTTTTTTTCTGTGGACAAAATTTCTACCAGAAATTTTGCTATGATTTACAATGATAGAACTTTTTCTGAAAGGAAATTTTACTGGAGAGGTACTTTAAGTAGGTTAATTTTTGATATTCTCGGGAGTTTTCTCAATTTATTGAAAAAACTGGAAAAAAACGGGAAAACGGAAAAATAGGTACAATATTAAACAAATGTTATTAAAGAAAATGTTTAATGCATATATATATAATCTTTTTATCATTATATAGCATATATATTATTGACTAAATTCAATTGTTCACTATCACCTGAACTCTTCTCAGAATCGTTTTCCGTTAGCAATGGTTTCCCGGTGCTTACAGATATACATAAAATTCCCATCTGTATCCTGACTATCTAACTTTCTACCTACAACAGTGACTACACCCACGTGCGATGCATGACAGTCTTTTTAATTTTGTTTTTATGTATTAGATTCTGATTGTAGCGAAGAAAGTATAAGTTTTAAAATTATATTTTATTTATTATATTTTAAAATTTTAGCACTTATTTTAAAAATGTATAGATAACCTCATTTGTAAAATACAATATTTTATATTCTGAGTGGAGCGAAAAAGCTCATGGTTTTACAAAGATTTTTTTTTTCTCTTAACAACTTTTCAACCAGAAAACTTGCTCGAATTTCTAATTGTAGCGCTTTTTCTGAAAGGAAATCGGTGTAGGGAGGTACTTAAGGACGTCATTTTTCAATTTTCTCAGGAGTTTTTCCATCAAATGTGAAAAACCAGGATAAAACATGGGAAAACCGAGAAAAACGTAGGAAAATTGGGAAAATCGGTACAACATTAAACAAATATTATTAAAAAAATATTTAAAGCCTATTTAATTATTTTACTATAAAATGATATATATTGTTGACACTATCAACTGAACTCCACTCAAAATCGTTTTTTTGTAAGCAATGGTTTACCATTGCTTTTAGGTATACATTAAATTATCAATAACAATAGCTGCACCCGTCCCCATTATCCTAGGACGTCTTTTTTTTATATATATATATAAAAGCGATTTAATACGATTTCTCATAAACATATTATTTTGTAATAAAAAATCATAAAAAAACGATATATATATATTATTTCATAATAATATAATAATTTAAATATGTGTATTTGAAAAAAAAAGTTAACATTTTGATGTTAATGATTTTGATATTAAACATACCTAATGAGATATCAAATAAAAAATTCCACCTTATATAAGATTATATTATAATACATAATATAGTAGTGCTCACTCGGACCTGGTAGTAGATTTGGTCGATCTTCGATAGAATTTATACATGCTATTATAATTATATTATTATCACTCGGATTACATTTAAACATGCCCAACTATATTATACATGTGACACTTATATAATATCTATTTTATTAGTCGAAATAAGATTGATAAAATTGATTAGTTGGGAATTGTATTTGGATTAATTATGTACCTACCTTACACGGTTAATTTTATTAGCACACATAACAAAATATTGTACAGATTATCGTTTGGGATTTTTTTTTTTTTTTTCCTGTTAAACAAATACGAATTTACGTCATTATGCAGGTACAATATAATATAACTGTCGACAAATATTTGAACAAAAAAAAAATTAACAATCCATTGTGTTTATAATATTTTTCGAATCACTGCACAATGTAGACTGTGCAATGTGTAAAAATAACATTAATATTTATCCATAGCATGTGTGTGTTATCTTAAATATACATTGCCGTAATAGATATTCTACACACTTTGGTCAGTTTATGGTGCGTACACATTTATGTTGCAGACTTGGCATAAATTCAAAATTGAGAAAGTTATGAAAATATTATTGATGCCATATACCAAATAATATTACAACGAATATGAAATTTTTAATTATTTCAACAGTTTTTAATAAAAAAAAAAACTTTTTAAACTATATATTATTATTATTTTTATTTGTTATTGTTATTGATTTTGTGCAGTAGCTGCAACGAAACGAAAAATCTAAAATTAAAAATAATTTTGCCATTGGTCCGTTGGTCAGGTTAGGTTGACAAATTTTATACCAGCAATTTTGTTCCGATTTGCAGTGATATCACTTTTTCTAAAAGAAAATTTGACTGTGAAGGTTCTTTAAAGAGGTTATTTTCGATTTCCTCAAGAATTTTCCCAACAAATTAGAAAAACAGCGAAAAAACAGAGGAAAACGGAATAATTTACTGGGTGATTTATTTAAATGGGATTACTCATTTTCTTGGAAAGTATTAACATTTTGGGATTTGTTTTGTAGAATAATTAAGAAACAAGCAGCTCTACAATTTTATATTAACACCATTTATTTGTCACCCTCATTTTTGAGGGTAAAACCACTACTTATTTTCAAATGGTAACCTATATTAAAAATTCCATAAATAGATGGAGTATTAGTTAAAATAAATTCTAGTGTTGAAATTTTTGATTTCCGTCAAGCCGTTGACGAGATATTCTACTTCTACGACGCACGGCGTACTGCGTGTTAATAATACACCACTACTCTTCTCCAACCCCAATCGTATAAGTATCTCATCAACGGCTTGACGAAAATCAAAAATTTCAACACTGAAATTTAAATGAACTAATACTCCATCTATTTATGGAATTTTTAATATAGGTTGCCATTTAAAAATCAAAATTAGATAGTGGTTTATTGTTGTTACCCTCAAAAATAAGGGTGACAAAAAGCAGTGTTAATATAAAATTGTAGAGCTGCTTATTTCTTAAATGTTTTAGAAAACAAATTCCGAAAAAGTTAATACTTTCCGACAAAACCATATTTATGATTTTAGCGCCCCCGACTTAGCTTTTGATTAATTGTATAACTACTTAAGTAGTTGTACTAATTATAGGGATTTTTGGTGTCTAATTTAGTATCTAAATAAAAAATAAACTATTTCAAAATTTTAAGAAAGACTGACATACTTCGCAAGTAGATCCATCCGAACAATTGGAGGCCAAATTATACAGGAACTGTGTGCAATTTGGGTCATGCTCCTAAAACTTACAATGCTCTTAAAACTACATCAACATATGGAAAGTGGAATATCTCTTCAACAGGTTGAAGAAAATAAAAATGTCAACACCGAAATCTATTTAAACTTATACTCCACCTATTTATGGAATTTATGATACATAGGTTCTCATTTGAATAACCAAAGTTGGTATTGTCACAGCATACCTTTTTAAAATTTGTGAAAAATCTAAGAATACGAATATATCGACTTTAACAACACTTAAAAATTCCAAATATCAGAATTTGAATTTATGCATAATTTAACCATAAAAATAGGTTGAGCACGCTTAGTGAATCATCCTGTATATGAGAAATGTGCCCACCTATCACCCTCTCTCACTTAAATATATCCTTGTTGACTCAAATACAGGTAAATGTTAACTATTTAAACAGTCAGACAATCAAGGTCACTAAAACTATGCATATTATTTTGTAGGTGCCTTCTAGCCAGTACCATAACCAATTTTTTTTTCGGGGGGGGGGCGGTGGGCACTAATTATTTTTATAAAATTTACTATACTTGGTTGAACAATAAAATACACCGAACTAACCAATAAACAAAAAAATAGGGCATGGAGACACGCAAGAAAGTTTATCCTAATGTTGTATTTTTTTACATACGTTTATAGATCAAAATTTCAAATTTTAACAACACGGTAATAATAACGTGTCATTTCACGTATTTTTTTCGATTTATATAAATATAATTTTTGCCAACTGATTTAATATCGTCACAAATTATTAAATCACACAAAATATTTTGCAGAGGTGTTCAAAGGGGGGGGGGTGACGTATTCCCCTCACGGCCTCATTAAATAATTTTTCTTACATATTTATAATGATATAAACTTCTTTAAGTGTACTTAGTGCTCATCCCATTTTTATGGTTAAATCATGCGTACATTGTAATTGTAATATTTGTAATTTTTAAATGTAGTTTAAGACGATATTTTCTAATACTTGAATTTTTCACAACACATAAGGGGTATCCTGTCATAATATCAACTTTGATTTTTCTAATGAGATGCTATAAATCCAATGCCAATTGTCAATCAGATCCAAATAATTTGTCTGAAAATATTGTCGTATTTTAATCAAAATTTGAACTGAAAATATCTGTATGACTCTACTTTAAATACTAAAGAATAATAACTGCACGATTCAAAACAATAAATTATCAATACACATGAAACAGTTGGTATTCAATTCCCGTAAAAGACTATTATCCTTTATATTTAAAGCAGAACAACTTATAAAAAAAAATTTTTTTAAGTTTCTATTAAAATAAGTCAACTTTTTCAAAAAAAAAAAACATTAGTTTGCATCAAAAAATGTAGGTCTTTAAAATAACTCTACAACATTAATGTGGTGAAAAATCCAATTATGCAAAAATATCATTATTCACTGAACTTGAAAATTCCAAAAAACCGAATTTGAATTTATGCATAATTCAACCATACAAACGGGCTGAGAATTCTTAATAATGACATTGTATATTATATTATATTATCATAGTTATAAAAAAAAGATTCTGTAAATAATAATCATTCTTAAAAATTATCCTTATCCCCGTGACAAAATCATTTGATCGCCACTGATATGATGTATTCACTTTGTATATAACTATGTAAAGTATATTACATTGTGTAATTTTCCTGAGAAGCTGAGACCTATCTTATTGTAATTTGTAACCATTTAATAAACATTTAACTATATTAAATTTGAATATAAATAGTAAATTATGAGTATACTTACTTATTTGACAGTATTAATTCGTCTTTATTTTGAAACACAACGGACTTTCTTGTTTCGTTTTTCACAGAGTTAAGTCCTGTAAAATCAAAACAAAATATATTTAAATCATATTATTATATTTGGTTATTGGTAAAGTATCGTTACCTACAATATAATTAATAAAATGTCCATAATAGTATTAAACATTGTACAGATTGTTTAATATAACTTACAAGTAGAAAATTGCAATTGTATTTTATATCGTGATACAATTCTGGAAAGTATCAAATATATTGTATTGCTTATACGAGTATATTACAGAAACAGTAGCGCATGCAGCAATTTTTTCGGGTGATGGGGGGGGAGGTTGTGTTTATAATAATTTGTTAGAGGGGATAGCACATATTATCAATAAAGTACTATTACTTTTATTATCGAATAAATGATTTCTGATGAAAAACTTAATTTAAAAAATGTAGTGAAGGAAAATATTTCTGTGAGGGGTCTGACCCCCTAATCCCCCTCTATATGTGCTACTGACAAGGAGTACCACGAAGATAATATGATCATTGCGCTTTCTTGGAATTCACTAATTTGTTCAATCATTTTTTAAAATTTAAGGAACAAGTAGTTCTAAAATGCAAAATTATTATTTTTTTTTATCACCATTATTTTTGTATGAAGCGTATGTAATCAAGCGCTGCGATCATAGAAATAATGCTTCGCTACTCCCTCTATTCAAACTTAAAAGTGATATATCTTGTCAACCGTTTGAAGAAAAAAAAATATAAAAAGTTAATACTTTCTAAGATATCACAATGATAATTTCCTTGAGGGACACCATGTACTTCGTATCAACTTGATATAATTTTGCATTTCATAATAAATTATCTAATTCCAGTTTGTTTTTTCTATTTTCGGAATTGTCAAGTATTTCATGAAATGGAAACTAAAATTTGATATACGTGTAATTTTTTTCATCTATTTGCTATTCAATTTTTGAATCAAAATAAAATTTAAATTTAATAATACATAATACTATGCTACCATTGCTTGTTTAATATACGAATATTAAAGCTATCATTTCGTCTTTGTAAAAGTTATTATTATATTATTTAAGATGGATATTTTAACATTATTTTAAAAAGCTCAAATCATATTATACGAACAATACTGGAAATTACAGAATACAAAATTAATTTTAATACCAAAAGTAGACATAGGTAATTTAAATCCTTGAAATTTAATGTTATTGGTGTTATTGTAGATTAATAAAATATCATGAGTCGTATAGAAACATCATGGTTTATCTTTTTATAATATTTTAATGATATTTTGAGGAATAGTTTGTATCAGGGCCGGAACTGGAAAGGTGGTGATTTATCCCTGAACATACAATTTTCAAGAGTTTATTTACGTATTTATTTTTTTATTTACTGATATGTACATATATATATATATATATATATATATATATATATGTATATTTATGTATATACATATAAATCTTTAATTTAATTATTCAGGATCTAAGAAGTCTATGAGAACGTGTATACTGTACATTGTTTACGTTTTCCCATTTAATAAAAATTAGTGTTTAAAGATCGTGAAGGAACGCAGTATACGGTATTTTTATCGCAGTAAAAATGTCTAGTTCCTGTTCTGGTTTGGAGCTTAGAGCTGACCATTTGCAACTGACTACTTCAAGTTCCATTGTTTTAAATGGGTAGTTGGAAAGATGGGATACACAAAGTTATTTAATTTATACCTGTAACCAATGATAAACCATTGTTAACGAAAATTGATTCGGAGCGAAGTTCATTTATACATGTTATGAAAGACCGTGATATTTATAATTTTCGTCAAAATTTGATTCTAAAACTCAATTTTTTTTTTTTTTTTTTTTACCACAATGTAAGACATATAATGAAACTCTTGTCAAATTTCCAAGCATTCTGTTTAGTCTAATAATTTTAACAATTTTATCCAACATAATATCTATCAATTAAAATTACGCCAAAACTCGTAAATAAAATGTCTATAAGTAGCTCAAAAATAACTCAACTGTATTGAATATTTTACATTTAGAAAAAACAAATACAATTTTTCTGTTTAAATTTCATACTTCTGCAAATATTTTTAAACTAAATTACAAAAAAAAAATCAAAATTGAAAATAATAAAAGCATTATTTTCGTAAATGTTCACGTTCTTTTTACGTTTTTTTTTTCGGTTTTGCTCAATTATTAAAAAAACAACAGAGACAATCAAAAAACGAATTTCTTACTTACCGCCTACAATTAAAATTCAACAAAAAGGTCTCTTGTTATTTTCTATTTGAGTAATATTTCTGGTAGAAAACATAGTTTTCAAAAATTAAAAACGACAAAATCGGTAACACCGTAGCGCACCGTAAATACTTGCCATTTAATCTACGATTTTCTTTCCGGTTTTTCTCAACTATTTTGAAAACCCCCTGGAAAGTCAAAAAATTTCTGGTCTAATACACCAAATAGATAAAACTTCTTTACAGAAAAGTCGCTAACCCTTAAACAAGATTTCTTTTGGAAAAGTTATTTACAGACAGAAAAAAAACTTGATATATTGTATTGTTAGCAAGGTAGACTAGAAATAATATAAATCGCAATTCTTATAAATAACGTTTCAAACAAAAGTAACATAAAACGAAATTTCTTTTTTTAAACGTATGGCCTGCCGTTATCTTTCGTTTATCTAAATACGATTAGAGATAAAAATAAGTATATCTGTTTAGATTATAGTAAACAATAAAACACAACACTGTAAGTCTTTAACTACAAGTAGTATAGTATATATTTGTGTACCGTATACATACTTTGAAAATTCGTCGGGAATTGTTCGTCGAGAGCGAAACTCAACTTTCTTAGCTCAACCACTTTGAGTTCCGCCGGACGATTGTTGTTGGACTGCGGGTTGATCCTTGGGCCGCTCACTTGATACGACTCGGATCGCCAGCGCAAAACCGCCGGCGGCGTATGATTTTGTATGGTCACGGTCGTCAGATCGGTACTACCGTGTTTTTTTATGTACATGCCGGCCATATATATTTATTATAGTAGAGATAAAATATCGATGACCTATACAAAAATCACCAAATAAAATGAATAAGCTTAATTGGCCTAAACAATAATAAGAAATTACATACTTATAAACAATTTACAAAAAAGGCCAAAAATAAACATGAAATTCTATAATTACGTAAAAAAAACTCTAAATCATTCAATAATAACTAATTTTTTTTGAAAAAATGCGTGAAAAAAAATACAAGATGTTTACCTACAATGAATATAAAAAATTATTAATAATACAAGATTTTAAAAAAAATTGATGTTTAAAAAAAAAAATTCAAACTTATATTTAAAAACGCAAAGAAATGTAAAATTTATATTTTATAAATATACAAAGCAGGATTCAGCACTTATGTGTTTGAATTTTAACGTGCTGAAACGTACTGAATCTTCACCGTCAGTAACCTTAACGCGGAGACACTTGGCAAATTTATAATATATCTATATTATTAAACTCTTGTGTTTTGAGGCCAATTTTCGTATAATGGGTTTATTCGCTTAAAAAAAACCTACAATGGTGGAAAAAATCGCAATTCGTCGTGTTACCTAAAATAATGATACTTCACTGCAATACAATACGTGAACCAACATAATATTATTATAATAATCAGTGCCTATATGCCTACAAAAATATATAATTAACGTGAAACACGTTGAATTTCTATGTATGAAATCATTTCGAACGAGTATATTGAAAAAAGTAAAAAAAAACCTTAAAACTACCGTTCTCGTCGTAATGAACACGCGCGTGACGACCAAGTAAAAGGCGTTTAGAAACGTACCTAGCGTCGTGTGCATCTTATTACGTATTAATTCTGTAGATTCGCACTGTTTAGTAATACAGGTATTGTTTAATGTCAAATAAATAGTAAGGTTATTTTTACTCGTATAGAGGATCATAATTTGTTTAGAAAATATGCCAAAAAAAAAAAAAACAAAAAAATAGAAACCGAATCTTAAAAATCGAAATAAACAAAAAATAAGTACTACAAATTTCATGTTTAATGTTTCTGTAGGTACATAAAAAGCATATGACGTTAAATATAATAATAATACTAATTTCAAGTCATAATAAATTCCTCGTTCTCAGAATCTAAAAATAAGACAAAGCATTTGTGCATAAAATACCTTAGTGTACCGAAAAAATAGTGAAGTAATATACCAGTTTTTAAGTAAACGAATCCCTTCTCTTCGACCAACACATGCATCAAAATAGAAGGATACTTCCTATAAAGTCTTTGGCCACGGAGTAGCAGAAAAAACGCAGTTTTTTTAGATACTAAATCATTTTTTATAGAAATGCTTGAAAATTTAACACGAGAGTCGTTATAAGTTATAACACCTTTTTTTCGGTTGAAACCGACCACACTGAAGGATCTGTTTTAACATTACTACTCCACACCTAGGTGACATCTATACTCAGAAGATATAATGTTTAATCGCATTAAGTTTTAAAAAAAACTATCTTGTTAATCGAATAAGTTTTCATGATAATAGGAAAAGACCAGAGAAAAAAAAAAGAAAAACGGAAAAATGTATGGGGTTAAAAATTGCATTTTATTTTTTGATTTTTGTTTTATACCTGAAATCTTGTTCCAGATATCAAGAACAGCCCTTTCTATAAGTGATTATAATAATTAAAATCCTTATAAATAAGAAATAAAAATAATAAAAGCATTATTATCGTAAATTTGTCCGTTTTTTTCAATTTTGCTTAATTATTGAAAAAACTTCAAGGAAATTCAAAAAACAACGTTTTTATTCACCACTTACAGTTAAAATAAAAACGAAAAAAGGTATTTCGACGTTTTTCAATTGGAGCAATATTTCTGGTAGAAAACATAGTTTACAAAAATTAAAAACAATGAAATCGATAACGCTGTGGTGTACCGTAAATATTTGCCATTTTACCTGTAATTTTCTTTTGCTAACCTCTTAGAAAATCAAAAAATAACCTCTTCAGTACACCAACTTGAAAACATATTCTCTCTGAAATGATGCTACACTTGATATATTAGAGCAAGATTTCTTTTTGAAAAGTTATTTATATAGACAAAAAAAATAACAAAAAAATACCAAACACACATTATAGTAAAACCAATAGATCCCTCGCTACACTTTGAAACTTCAACTATTGAACTCATGGAAAATAAAAACTTGTAAAACAATTTATCATTAATTCCTGCTAATTTCGGAATTTTAATTAATACTATTTTAAAATTATAAACTTCTAAAATTCCACAGACCCACAGTCTAGAAATAGATAATTATATCATAAAGAAATATTGTAATGTGTTCCTGGAGACAAAAAAATTCATAAATCGAATACAATCCGACAGATTTAACGAGTATAACATATGCACCAATCACTTCTATTGATGTAGAAAGGTTATTCAGTCGTTATAAAGCAATTCTAAGATTAAATCGCCATCAGTTTAAATTTAAAAAATTAAAATTATATGTTTTTGCTAGCTGTTTCCTTCACGGAAGTAATAATATATGGATGATAAAAAATAAACATCATTTATTTGTATAATGTATTAGTAATATGTTCCAATCAAATTTTTAAAAATTTTCAATTTAAATATTTCAGTATTATAAGTGTGTTCAGTATTATGGGGCGGGGCCTCAAATACATTAATATATTTTAAAATATGCACTAAGCCCCATAAAATTCTGCACCCGTCCCCGAAATCTATCGGGCCGGCACTGCCTTTGCACACCCATTAGTAGTATCAGATTTTTCGGCTGCAATCGGTACCAATTAATTATAATATACAATTATCAGAAAAACGTGCACAGATTTTCTTGGAGTTCAATAATCGACATGTGGAAAGCTTAAAATCGGTAGAAAATACATATAAGTAGAAAACCATTCAAAGATTCTGTTGCTAGAACCTAAACATTTTATAACTTAACATGATATATGTGATTCGCAGTAATATAAATAAATATATAAATAAAAAATGTATACATAAAAAATAAATAAATTAATGAATACCTCGCCTGGAGTATTATGATAAGTGTATTACACGACCGGTTTCGAATTAAAAATTATTATAAAATATTATTAAAATTATTTTTCTTTATTTAATTGTATATTTTTTATGTAATTCTTCTTGAACTTAATTAATTTAAATTTTATTTTGCATATTTAATATCTCTAAATCTCTATTGATATCAAAGTTTATATTATGGTTATTTTCTAAAATATGTTTAGCGAAATTTAAATCTTTTTTAATTTTATTTAAAAAATGTGTTCTTTATATCTAATTTTAAAATGTCTATTTGTCATACCTATACAAAATTTATTACAGTTTCATTTAAGTTTATATATACCAGCATTTTCAAAAGAAGGAGGATGTTTTGTGAAGTTTTAGTTCTATTGTGTATATGTTTGCCTAAATTATTATTAATCTTAAAAGCGATTTTTACATAATTTGTATTATTGTTCAGAAATTTAGCGAATTCGTTAGACATATTATTTTGATATTTCATACTATACAATAATTAACAACATTATTTGGTGAGTTGTATATTATTTTTCTTTAATACGTTTATGAATTTTTTTAATAGTATTTAAATTTAAATTATTTCTATGGGCTGTATTATAGATAATATTAAGCTCGTGTTGATAATTATGTTTATTTAATGGAATACGTTCAAGCCTGTAGAATAATGAATTTAAAAATGATATATTTTAAGAATAAGGGTGATTAGAATCATGCAGTATTTTGGCTTCTGCAGTTTGTGTAGGTTTCTTTCAAATACTAAAATCAAATTTTTTTTTTTGATTATGGAAACTGTAAATTCTAGGAAATTTAATTTATTACTTATTTGTATTTCGAGTGTAAATTGAATGTTTAATAAATAGTTTTTTAAACTTTTTAACAAATCAATTACGATGTGTAGTACTCACCTAATGGTATTGCGAATAACTGCAGCTTATAATAATATTATTATACAATAATTATTTAATTTGCGAACGTCGGACAACCACAACGCCATAACAGTGATGATGATCTGAAAATAAGGCACTTATGTCTAACCTACATTCAATTATTATAGGTAGGTACGATTGGTCAATGCGACGGACGTTTTGTAAACGACCGGCACATCATCGCTAAACAATAAATTAAATAAAAACGATTCAAAAATATCTATTTGTACACATGAAATTTAAATACGTATTATACGAACTGCAACTGCAGATATTTCGAAAAGAAAATAAGATTTACGACACAAAATATTATACTTTTTGTGATGTTTATTTATATTGTTTATATTGTTTATTATGTACGCGCAACCAGTCGGTTTAATCTGTGCAGGTTACCGATCGAATAATAATATTATTATAAATATGCTGGTGCGCATGTTATAGTCTTTTGAATTTTGACGTGTTTTCTTCAACTGCACGTGCTGCAGCAATATCTTTCACGGTATGTTTTTATTTTTAGGTCGTTTTATCATCGTGTATGATCAATACGGACCGCATAAAATTTTAATATTATTAACTACTAGGTGTATGTATGTATACCATGAGACGATAAACACGGACATTTTACAATAGGTGGGTATTTTTACAAAAATCACAAATCATTCTAGTGGGTAACAATAATAAAAGACATTGTAATACAATGATATTTAATATCGTATCTTCAAGATCTTGTAGCAGTGTTGCACAGGTAAATGCACACGATTTACGAGTATTATATACGTCTATTTACAATAACTATTGGGATTAGTATCAGCTGCACAAGTTTTTTTTTACAATAATATTTTCTAAATAATAATAATAATAAGTATAGCTACGGAAAGTTATCGTTAGGTTATTTTCGATAGGTACAGTTTTCACTCTTTCTTCCTCTCTCTCTTTATCTCGTAAGTATAACAATTTTCGACTTTTTTATCATTCACTCTAACATGCCTATAGATAACTTAAAAAAACTGTCAAAGCCTGTTTCAAAAATTGCACAACGTCTAGAAAACGCCAATTTAATTATTCGATGAAATGATCAGACCTTTAACAATTATTTTTCATTGAATTACAAACATTATAATTTATTAAAGTACTAGAGGCACAGATCGGCTCGGAAACGTTTTTATAACGGAATGATTACGTTTCAACGAACACGCATAAATTGTAATTGAACGATAATTATTATTGCAGTTATAGGTATTCTCCCTTTGGAATCCAAGGATAACCTACAAGCGTTCGCTGTTATAACAATAATAATAAAAAAATTACTGTGATTACTATTATTAGGTTAAAAAAAAAATAAATAAATAGGCAGTAGATATTTTCAATACCTAACTAATAATTATATAGCAGTAATAATGACGATGAGTGTAACGAATCATCGCCAAAAGAAAGGAACTACACATATTACATTACATCATAATATTATTATTATACACTGCGCGTATCCGATATTTTTTTCCCATCATATAACCCTCAAACTAAAGGTACAGTGTAAAAACGAACGTATTATATTTTTTTTTTTTACCTACCAGTTGGTAATAATTGTTGAATATTTCTTATGAATTCATAATATGATAAATAGGCAAGGGCATAATTAGTTATCCTTTTCAGGGGGAGGGGGAATTATGGAATCAGTTTTGTTTCTCTAATACTTGTACAAAGATAATAACGATTGAACATTTTTCGGCTGGTCCATACGTAAGAGAAGATGAGAAGGGGGGGGGGAATTCGGAGGTTTAAATCCTCATTGCCTTTTTTTTTGCATCTTTACAAAACTACCAGAAATCTTGCTTAGATGTATACAATAAAGACCTTTTTCTGAAAGGAAAATTTCTTGGGGTGATACTTTCATGAGGTCATTTTTTGATCTTCCTGGCAGTTTTCCTAATAAAAGGAAAGAGAGAAAAAACGGAAGAAAAGCGAGAATTTTACAAAAATAATGCTTTTATTATTTTTTCAATCTTGCTATTTGTTTATAATTTAGTTCAAAATATTCATAGAGACTTTAAATTTGGACAGAAAACTAATTATATTTACTTTTTCTAAACATGGTAAATTTTCAAAAAATTGAAGCCATTTTTGAGCTATTTATAGATATTATAATTTAGTGAGTTTTGTACTTTTTTTTTATTCGTTAGGCGAGTACCTAACGAATGTGGTAAAATTGTTAGCCTAGAGATGCTTGAAAAATTAACAGGACTTTCACTAATAGTCATTAATTTGTAGTAAAAGAAAAAAAAATTGAGCTTAATATAATATTATTTTTTAAGTATTTTTAGGTAATTTTTTGATTTTCTCGAGAATTTATCCAATAAATGGAAAAAACCGAGAGAAAACATGGGGAACTGTGAAAAACGTAAGCAAATCGGTATAATATTAAAGTAATATTATTTTAGCAAATATATGATGCCTATTTAATTTTTTTACAATAATATGACATAAATATTGTTGACGTATAGTACAGAATGTCAACATTTTTTATCCGGAGGTTATAAGACTTGCTTTTAACTTTAAACGATTTAGTATTAAAGGTATTCTATATTGCTTGTTTTTTATGTAGGTTTTCAGTATCTAAAACTTGTTATAGTTTAAATAATTCATTCGAAGGGAATGATTTTGACTTACTTAAAATAATTTGTTTTATGTTTTTTTGTGCTACTATTTATATTTTAAGATTGAATAACAACCTTCCTATGCGATTTTTCCGTATTGTACTAGAGATTGGACTATTGCAAAGTATGTTATTCTAAGGAAATTTTTGTTTAAAATTCTTTTAGCGTATAGGAAAAAGTATGTTAGTTATCTCAGTTTTATTATTAAATTATCTATGTGAATATTCTATTTTAAAGTTCGATCAATTAATAATACATGTATATAATGTATACATATACATGTCTTAAGCCATATGGAAATTAGTTTTTTTGCGAAAAGACTACGCTCTTTGTAATGGGGTAGCCCGTTAGCGAACTACTTATTATTTTTCCAAACGGCCTACTGTTTTTATGACTTATTACATACAGACTAACAGCAGTTAGGTCTTTTAAGAACTACAATGATTGTAATATAGTAATAACTATTTTACTTATTTTAATTTAAGAGTAATTTATTACTTTTACAAAAAAAAAAAGATCAATACAATTATTATCACATGTAAACATTAAAATTAATAGTCTGAATAAGTATGGTACTTATTATATAATATTATATTTGTTTTGTAAACTATATCAATAGCGAGTATCAGTGAAGTTTAGATTATTTTAAAGTTTTTGACTATTGTATTACTAGTTTTATTTTACATTGCTAACAAAAAAGAAAATATGTAAAATATTTAAAACCGTAACGACATGTGGTTTATTCGTGTTGCATTTTATTTGTCTACAACTTTTCCAATTACATTTTGAGTGTCTAAATGGTCCACCATCTACTTTTGAAATATTGACTGAAACATAACTTCCAACTTATAAACTGTATCAATAGCGTATATATAAAATCATATGAAACGTATATATTTCAAATTGTAGGTATTTACCTACATTAGTTTGTTACAACTGGCTATTTTATTTTATTTTAGATTTAGATACAGAATGACGATATAATATGATACTAGATGAAATCTACGAGATTATGACTAATTAGTAGATTAGATTATAACTTTTCACTGGACACATTTTTGTCGGCATACTCTACATACTCTGCGTTAAAACGGTTGAATTCGTTTGTATTTCGTTTTTCAAAATATTTTTGCAAAACAAATAGATGCGGTTGAGAGTTTACATGTTTGATCTTATAATAATTCTATTGATCTTTTTTTTTTGTAAAAGTAATAAATTACTCTTAAAATAAAATAAGTAAAATAGTTATTACTATATTACAATCATTGTAGTTTTTAAAAGACATAACTGCTGTTAGTCTATATGCAATAAGCCTGAAAAACAGTAGGCCGTTTGGAAAATAATAAGTAGTTCGCAAACGAGCTACCCCATTGAAAAGAGCCTAGTCGTTTTGCAAAAAGACTAATTTTCCATATACCCTACGACATATGTATATTTGCTGCAGTATTATACAAATTAAATATAACCTAAAATGTATTGCATATTATTATTGCAAATATCTGTATTATTATATTATATAAGTATTCAAAACAAAATTATGGTTCAATGTATTTCCCGCTTCGAGCACTGGTGAAAGAAAAACTAAAATAGGAGAAGTGAACTCTTCCCCTGCATACGTATTGTGAGGAAAATATGGGTCTCAGGAAATATAGATAATGTTACTATGGATAATTACACCATCTATATTTCATATGGATGAAATATAGTTCCTGCGTCTCTGTCTAACTACTCATTAATTTTCATTATTATTCTAAGCATAGCGTTTGAAAATAAATCAAATAATAAGTGAAATAATAATAGTGATATTTTCAATGTTATTTCGAGTATTAAATTGAACCGGGTGCTCTATCTTTTGAAAAAAGGTCGGTTAGATTTAATAAATTAATAGTTTCCATTACTAATATTAATGCGATGAGAGGAATAGAAAATCCATCAACATTTAATCTCCCTACCCTAAATCCTAATACAACTTATGATGAACTTATCATATTTTACTACGAAAGGTCAAAATTAACGAAAAGACCGCTTATGTATAGCCAGCTAATAACTAATAACTAATTGTTAGTAATATCTAAAGGTGAAATACCTCAAACGAGTAATAAAAAAAAAAACTAAAAATGTTGGTTTTTAAAAATTGAAAAATACATCGATTTATACATGTTTCGAACGAAACTATAATTTGTTTATTGTATACCTTCAATAATTTTTCGAATTTAATTTGAACTACCTATATTATATAATTCATTTTTTTTTTTTAAGTAAATCGATTTTATATAGGTAGGTAGCAACTTATTAAAACACGCTTATTGTCGTAATCATCAACTGTAATAAAAACTACGAACACATTATGCTATAATGAAAAAATGTTTCTATTTTTATTAAGTATAGAAAAACGTAAGCAATTATTATAATTATAAACAATTAATTTTAGTTATAGATTATCTATACAAATACATTGTGATTCCCATACAGTTGATACGGTGAGAAAACACATTCGGTTTTTACCCGTCGCTTCGAGTGTACGAAAAACAAACGATGCCGTCTATTATAAGTAGCAGATATACTTATATATTTCATTATAACTTGTAAGTTAGCTAAGTGCAACAGGTGACGAGGTAAGTTTATTTTTTTTTTAAATCAAACAATTGCCTTAATTACAATTTGTATTTTAATAAATATAATTATTGTGGTAAATTGAGGCTGATGATTGATTTAAAACCGAGTTCAAATAACATATCATTTTTACAAATTTGTAAGTTTTCAAAAAAATAAATAAGTATAATACGAGTGAATGAAATTTGAAGGGTAATGTGATTATAATAATATACCTAGTTAATGTGACTAAAATATATTTTTAATGCGATTAACAAAAAATTTAACATATTAGTTTTAAGTAAAATAATTGCAGGTACACCACCCTAACTGTATATTAATATGACATACTCTTATTCATAATTAAAATGGTTCTTTTTTTCCTTGCCAATCCAATTCACATTATAGATTCGATTAAAAATGAATTTAAAAAATAGGTGTCTACAAAAAAAAAAAATTAAAGTTACAATTATTATTATTATTATTAATTAATATCTCATTAATTTTGTTTAGTTTTATTTTTTTGTTGCAAAAATATAATTAAAAGATCTCTTTTATACTTTTGGCATATTTAAAATAAAAAAAACTTTTAAATATTTAATTTACGTACATTTATAGGCTATAGTATTTCACATTGTGGTATAACTATCAAGTTTGACATTTTTGAATATAATCGTTTCGTACTTAATATTGTTAAATAAAAAGACCCAAAAAGATTCATCCGATTTCAATGGGTATAAATCTTAAACCCGTAATTTTTGATGAACGAACCATAAACCATCTTAAAGGGGGGATCTTCAAGTTGTTTAGCTGTTAGTAGGTGCGCTGAGGTGGACCTGAGCAGAGTAATGCTGTGATCAGTTTTCAAAATACCGACTGAGTAATAAAAAGTATTTTGCCGCATTTTATCTTTGGCCGTCCCATTCTCTGGACCTTATAGTTGGTGGTTTTTTTTTTTTGTTTGAGAGTACATAAAAGATACTATTTATATTCCTCCCCTCCTGAGAGATCCTGATGAACTGAAAAATCGCATTACAGACGTCATCAACTCGATTGCAGTCAAAAAATGTATGAAGAATTCGACTTTCACTTAAATGTGTACCGTGCAAGTGGAATCACATGGCCAATTTGTAAACAATGTAACAAAAATTCAATGTAATTGCTATAACTGAAATAACTTCTTGTATTTGCTATTGTTCAAATATTATAATAAATAGAGTTTTTGAAATTGGATAAATCTTTTTGAGACGTCTTGTAAATTATTATGTTTAAATATTGAAAAATTGTATTTATTTACTTAACCATCAGTCACTCATCAGCTTTGTAGGTACCTAACAGTCGTTTACAACACAAACATCTGTATTGGTAAACTGTAATGTAATATTTATTTTGATTTTTATATAGGTACAGATTAAACAAACGGTTTTCACAATCACAAATTCAAATTCCGGGATATAGTTTCGGCTGAAAATTTATGCTGGAAAATATTTGAATACCAACGGTTGGGTACTTATATCTGTCTAAATTCTACGATGGTTTATTTATCATTATCGGACATTAATGCTACAGGTCGGCCAAAAAGTTAGTATACACACGAACCTTATCAACCACATATTATTTAGTGGCGCGTATCGTTCAATTTATAATATAATATATTTAATATTATGGATTATCTTCATAGTTCGTGGAGATTGATCAATCCGAAACACCATAGCTATATCACACGATAACGTAATAATGTTACATTAAGAGTAGATATGACTATATTTTTGTAGTCTCCACCGCGCCATATTGTTTATATTGGCATATTGTATATAACGATATTTTATAGTACCTATAAAAAAACTATAATAAAACTCTATTTTTTTTTTTTTTTGAACATTAAGTACAACTTCTTATGAACTTCCCGTCAAATAATTTTTAAACATTTCTGTTTAGTCTAACATTTTTAACCACAAAGTACTTACAGAATACAAATTATTAAAAACTCACAAAATTAAAATGTATACATAGCTCAACAATTTTTTGAAAATATTTTGAAGCCTAGAAAAGGTCACTTTAAATTGCTTATCCAAATTTCAAATCTCTACCTATATTTTTAACTGAATTACAATAAAAGAACAAAATTGAAAAATTGTAATAGTATTTAACTGAATGTATCGTTATTTTCTTGATATTTTTGTGGAAAAACTAAATTTGCGATGAGCAAGTTCTAAACATTATTTTAAAATTTTATCTACTTTGTACTTTAAGGTGGTCATTTTTTGATTTTCCAATCGGTTTTCATAATAATTGAAAAACCCGGCAAGAAACGTAGGGAAATATTTATGTCATAACGATTTCATAATTTTATAATTTTTTAACTTGTTTTTTTTTCCTAGAAAACTTTAACTAAAAATGACAAGCAATCACTGTTGTTGACATTTATCAATCTAGTTGGTGAACAAGAAAGTCGTTTTTTTGATTTTCCGTGTAGTTTTATTTAATAATTGAATAATACAAATAAAAACGTAGAAAGAATGGTAAAATTTACGAAAATATAGTTTTTATTTTTTTTTAATTTTGATTTTTTGTTGTAATTTAGTTTAAAATATCCGTCAAAATCGGAAATTTGGATAGAAAACTTTTTTAGACGTGATAAAATGTTCAAAATATTTGAGCCATTTTTTAACCATTTAAAAACATATTAATTTGGTTATTATTTTACGTAATTTTTATTTGCTAGGTACTCTTTGAATAAAATTGTTAAACCAATTAGAAATGCTTGCAAAATTTAACAGGAGGTCCATTAAGGTTCATGCAAGTCGTTTTCTGTGTTCTGAAAAATAATTGAGTGTTATGTAGAATTGTTTTTTATAAGAATCTGAATATCAAAGTTTGACGAAAATCGGAAATATTACCGCAGTTCAATACGTGTATAACAGAACTCCGCTCAGAATCGTTTTTCATTAGTATTGATAAATCGTTGCTTACAGATACACATTAAATTCCTCTCTATATCTTTCTTTCTCAACTTCTCATCTACAATAGTGGCCACTCATCGTGCGAAGTATGTCCGTCTTTTTTATTATGTGTGCCATATTATGTATATTATTATTTTTACAACAGGGTTTTTCTCCTTCTACACCATACTGTCCGTATAATTGCTTAAACCGGACGGTAGCCATTTAATTAAAGGCCTATGTGCCTTATCATATACTTTTTATTATGATAACTGCTGAATTTCATTATTTTTACTATTGTTACCGTGGTCACCGTTCCTTAATTGTTAGCAATATTACACAAGTATAATATGTATCACAATTTCAAAGTGGGAGGTAAGGTTCTCTATTATCCATATTTATAATATGTGCGTAATATTTTCAATTAGTATTACTAACAAATATGGTTTTGGTTATCGCAGTATCAATGGTAAGAAGACATAGGTATTAGAACATACAGTTATTACAATATTATGAGGCGATAGGCTCATCGTCTTGAATTAAATGGCTTCTGTATTACCTTTACCAAACCTAGGTTTTGCTATCAAAATAAGAGCTTCCCAACAGCAAAGGTTTTTGGCATCCACCAATAGTAATACAGTATTACTATCGTGAATATATGACCGTGTTAATAGAATATTTATTTTTTTGATATCAATAATTATCATATCAAATCTTTGTAATTTGAAAATTTGAAAAACGTTCTCCCCATTCCAAATTCTAAAAATTGTTTGGACTAAATATTTCATGTGTAATTAGAGTGAATTAGTGTGACTGGTTTGGACATTTACGTGGCATCCAAAAAAGTTTAAAGTTGAAAATAACGTAGGAGTGGCTGTAGACACGTTTCTATAGCCGCCCCTCATGTAAATATTGAATTTGATGGATTTTTTTCCCTTAAATAATTAGAATGCAATTAGAGTGAAATTGCGTGACTTATTTGGAAAATGTACATACAAAGCCCTTAGTACCAGGCGCACTTCCTATTTTAAGAAATGATGTTTCGGCAGAATAATTTTTGAACATACCTATTGCATTTTGATAAGACTTTAAATGAATATTAATTTGTTAAAATGTAAGAAAAATTTTATTTGTATACTATTTTATTATTAAATTTTATAGATAGTGTTTAAATTTAGGTCAATCATATTAAAAACTTTTAAACTTAATTAGTGGAAATTAAAAATTAAAATATACTATGGTAGGTATTATCAATCATATTAAAAACTTTTAAACTTAATTAGTGGAAATTAAAAATTAAAATATACTATGGTAGGTATTTTTCTATACATCTATATACAAACCAAGATATACAATTAGATACAAAACAAAATTGATTTAAAAAAAAAAAAAAATACATAATTAACGTTATACAATATTTGTTACTATAAAGAAAATTTAAAGGTTTACATGGATATTTCGCATCACATTAAAAAATTTTAAACCTAAATCGTGTGAATTTAAAATTCACATGATACCAGCTTTTATTTTTTAGTGGTCCCTGACACAAAGTGTTACCTACTAAATACTAATAAACCAGGCTACTGGCCAGGTATTAAGTAGTATCTAAACACTATTCAAATTTTTAAAAAATAATATTTTCTATGATAACAATAATAAATTGTTATTAAATTAATAACTTTTATTTTATTATTATAACAATTAATAAATTGTGTATTATTAAATGACGGGGTGTTTTAATTGTTCTGAAGTTATGTTATACTAAATGTGAATTTGAAAATACCTATGAAGGTATGAAGGCGTTTTTCAGGAAACCTGTTTAAGCAAAACAGCTGATAAGAACTCAAATATATTTATTAATTTTTAAATGATATATCCCACATTAAAATAAATATTTTATTTAAAGTTTTTAGATTTACATCAGACATAAGTATATTTTCTTAGTTTTATAAAATAATAATAGATTGTTAGTAATAATAATGTGCAATTTGATAGATAAAAAAGAATTATTACTACAAAAAAAAAAAGTTGATATTGTACTAAAAATTACAATCATATGGAAGCGGCAAGTGCTGTAAAGGGAGGTGTGGGAGGTTTTGCCCCCCACGGCTTTGTATCATATCATTAAAAAATGTGTAGAACGAATTATTATGAAAAATAGGGGCTGTATGATACTATAGTATTTTTCTTAAATGGTTCCTATAAGATTTTTTTTCTAGATCATTATATAATTTCCAATTAGGTATTTGTTCTTTTTGCATGAGCTGTGTAGTGTCCTATTGAAGTTCTCAATCCACTTTTTCTTCTGTACAAATTTATTGCACCCACCGTGGAGTGGTATACCATATGTACCTAGTGTTTCCATAAATAAGTATTTGTGAAATGTCAATATTAACTGTGAAATGTTAACTTGAACAATCTTTACAAGTTGTAGGTTCATACTAGACTTGTATGATAATTGTAGTATAGTTCTATCATAATTTAATCCTAAATACAAAATATGTAAATATAATAATAATTATCTTAAAAATGTTCGTTACAGAAAAACAACTGAAAAAAAGATTGCATTCGATGTTAACAGTGATAACAACATGTTTCATAATAAGGAATGAAATAAATCTAAAACTGATAATTTTCATCCATAGAATAATGCTTTAACGTAACGGCTTTACCCCGTGTTCCCCTATACACTTTTTCTTTGCGTAAATGTTGTATTACAAAATGTACAATTAATACTAATACCTACTCCACATTTAGTAATATATTATACCTACAGTAATATCACAGAATACTGAATACTACATTAAGCCAAAATCTAAAAAGTAACATGATATAATGAATTCAAAGTTGGGGTTTTATAGCACTTGTGCGAAGCCAATAAATAACAATCCAAAAGATTTTGATTAGGTTTTTTTTTTAAATAGTTTTAGTAATAGTAGGTAGTCAAATTTGTAGGATTCTATTATCACAGCCGTGATAGTTACTGTATAACTATTGGTGGATGCCGAAAACTTTTGCTGCTGGGAAGCTCTCGTCAACTAAAGGGTTCAACCAAAAGTGTTATTGTGATATGGAAGTAAGCAATCTAGTTTATCATCTTATTATTGAATTACTTATCAGTGATTGTCATAAAACAATATTGTATTAACATAAAAGCGTCACCAGCAAGGTTAGGTCCACCTTGGTTACCAGCTACTCTTATCACTATCATATTTTCTAATCATTATTCTGAGTGTTACTTTTTCTCAATAATTAATTAATTATTCTTAGTATTTATTATTATATTTTTTTAAATATTAATGAGAGTTTTTATTGATGTTGGTTGTCAAGCTATCGGTTCTAAATAGCAGTTACGTTAAAAAATATTCATTCATTGTGAATTCATTTGTGTATTATAATATCGTTCGCGTTGCCAAATCACTGAAGGATTTTTCAAAAATAATATTTATTAGCTAGTCAAAGTACTATGTACAATACGTTGCTCATATACCTCGCGTAACCTTCTGTTTCTCAAGCATGGACTCGGTGTGTGTAAATAAGAGTGGACTCGATCAATCTATCGATTGGGTGCCGTTAACTTTGACATTTGTTGAATATCCCAAGGGTAAGTAATAGTAACGGTAAAGGATAGTAATGTCGACTTAAATTATTCAATGAGCTCAAATGATAAAAACAACAAAAACAAAAACTTTTTATATCCAAATATCTTACTTTTGTACTTTGTACATACATTGTATATTTTTGTCCCGATTTTTATTTACCTACAAAATTAAAAATCCAATTATCCTTCTACATAAATAACTAGTAGGTAGCAAGATATTTTTATTTTACCAGTTTTAACTTTCTTTAGCCTTATTCTGATGCTTTTGAACACGGAAAAAAGTTAAAATGCTTCATAGGATTCAGAGTCTACACAGGTTTAAATTCTACAAATACTCTTTGTAGGAATACTCACTAGAGTACCTAAGCTATTTTAAAAACTTTATTGTTGATGGTAAATTGATCACTATATAATTTTATGACATTAAACATTTTGTAACTGTTAAAAAAATGTATAATACTAGTTACTTACCAGATTATGTAACAGTGTTACGGGCGCAACAACAAATATTGAAACATTTTTTAATTTTTTTTTTTTGGAAAATGTATTATCTTATTTTAAATGTATCAACAATTATTTTTATAGGAAATGTATTTGGTAAACTATTGGCTCTATTTAGTTTGACACCATTCATGATTCTGTCTGGTTTTATTACATTAATACTTTTCCGTCGAGATTTACATACTGTAAGTAAGCATTTATTTAATTATGACTTATTACAAATTATCTATTTATTTGTTTTACTTTTCAGATAACTTTTTTCATTGGTATCTTGCTCAATGAGATATGCAACTCAGTTCTTAAACATGTACTACGCGAACCGAGACCATTAGCTAGAAATACAAATTTATTGTACTCTGAATATGGCATGCCATCATCTCATTCACAATTTATGTGGTTTTTTGCGTCCTATATGTTATACTTTACATTTATTAGGTAGTTTTTTTTGCACCATCATTTTAGATTCTGAACTAAGTTAGGAATATTTTGATTTTACTATTGATAATTCTTAAAATCAATTAATCATTAATGCTAATATAATTAATGGTTATACCAAGTGTTTTTTTTTTTATTTAAACAAGTTTTCTATCAGAAATCTTAAAAAGTGGTTTCTAATAGCAAATTGTGTCTAGTTTGCACATTGGGAAGGTTTTTTTTGGATTTTTCTAAAATAATTTAGAACTTTTCAATTTTGTTTTTTCTATAAATAGGGTTAAAATATATATTTTCTCAATTCTGTGTAGGTACACCTAGAAAAGTATTTAAAGAAAAATATGTATACAATTTGATTTATATTTTTGTTTAGATTACAGTATGCTAACAGTAAGGCGTTTAAAGAGTTTTTCTGGAAAGTCGCAGGAGCAGTATCATGTATTATTATGGCTTGTATAGTTTCTTATAGCAGGTATTATAAATATAAGATATTAGTTTATTATTTGTTAGATTTATATTGAGTTTTAATTTATTTTTATTACGTCCAAGAGAGTATATTGTGCAGTCACAAATATTTAATAATATTTTACTGTGAAATTTATTAAAAATTTAAATTGATATATATAAAATTTGAATGTATATGTTATGATTAAAGTTTGAATACCAATGCAAGGATTTCTCGGCAAATCCTAGGTTTCACTGACTGCTTGCTGTCAGTTAATGTCTGAATTTGGGCATTTATCAATTGATTTTGGTAAAACCTAAGATATTCAAAATAGTTTGGTCAAACCTGAATGATTTTTGAAGTTTGTATTATCTTAGGATAACAATTTGTCTCACTAATAGTCCAAAATTTCATTTGTTTTTGTTTAGCAATTGTGTGATATTTTATACTAGTACAAAAGTTTATATTAGGGTGGTCCTTACTTTTGAACTTCAATAATTTTGTGTCACCTGCTCAACATTTTTTTAAGTACATTGTAAAAATAATTTAGGTATATTTTGCGTTAAGATTTTACGAAACCCCTTCATGTGCTTCAAAAAGATTTAAGTTTAAAAAAAAGGTATATTTTTTGGTTTTTAACATTTATTTATTAAATTTTTAATGTACAAAAAAATGATTAGGAACTTTATTATTGTCAAACAAATTTCCTGCAAAAACTGTTTTTATAATTTCTGTGAAATTTACTGTTTTATTAAAAAAACCTGATTTAAAAACTGGTGGTTTATAAATTTTACATAAATCTTAATTTTTACTATTCTTTATTATACTTATTATGTATTATTGAAAATAAGAACTTATATAATATTTATTAAGTATAATTACTTTATACAATTATTCTTTAAAATGTTATGGCTAAACCATGAAAATTGTCTGAACTGTTCTTGAACAATCTAAACAAATTTAATTTATTTAGATATAATATAAACTTTACATTATTACAAAAATTTAAATTATTGTTACATATCAATACAGTTAATGTTTAAATTACTATTATATATTGATATAAAGGTTTAAATTTTAAAATTTACTATATATGTATATTATTATTAATATCTTAATACTAATTTTAAATTAGTATTAAATTATATTAGGTGTATATTTAAATTATAGAAATATTTATTTATTTGTGCAAATTTGACTACTGTGATATCTCGTGTTGCACAGTAAAACGAATATTGTATATAAATATTTCTAATAGACTTGGAAATCAATTTTCTAAATCAATCTACAATAACTTTTGTTATTGTAACCGCTTCAACTCATCCATATTCTTCCCCTATAAAATACACAACATCCCTATTAAAGCATCAGGTGAATCTATCCACAACTTAGGATTTACTCTAACCCTGACCTCTCCCCAAATAAGCACATACACAATAAGCTGAGCCTCCTAAGTTTAGCAGACCGTATACAAATAAATAACTTTTCCTTCTTTTAAAATCTCCTTATTGGCAAAATAGATTCACCCAGTTCTTCTCACTCTTGTCAATTTTAAAGTCCTCCTTCCATGTTTCATTTTATATTTCTCACTATTTTACTAGTTTCCTTCAAAACTCCTATCTAAACTATCTAATGAGAACTGCAATCAATGGCCCATCCTTTCAATTATAAGACACAAAAAAAAAGAAATTGTAATAGTCATAGAAATAACAATAGTAATAGAGTTAAATATTAAGTTATCATTAACAATCCACAGGTTTATTATAAGTAAAATATATGTTAGATGTTAGAAAACTCAATATAAACTGAATTTTTCCCATATTTTATAGTAAATAAATAAATAAATCTACTATTAATATTGTTCTATATTTTAAATTGATAAATTGTTTGTTCATAAGTATGAAAAACTTTTATGACATACTTATATTACAGTCAAAATTTAAATCAATTGAAGCAAAAATTGTCACACAGTTAGTAAATAAAAATAAATGGAATTTCGGACTTATAATATTTTATACATAGTTGCTCATTATTTTTAAATTTAAACATTTATTTTATTATTATTTTAGTTTTCTACATTATTATCATATTAATTAAATTAATAATATTATTTTTTTTAGGATATTTCTTCAATACCATACATGGAAACAAGTATTATTTGGAGCATTGTTTGGTATTATTATAGGAACAATTTGGTTTGCCTTAACTAATATGGTATTGACTCCATATTTCTCAACAATAATATCTTGGTATGTTTAGTTAAAAATATGTTAGCTATTTTATGATTTTGCTTCTAAAACAAAAAAATATATATATTATTCACATACTGTTTTTATATGAAAATAATCCTGATAAATTTTTTTTGTAAAAACTATACTCATTTAGTCAATACGAATTAAATAAAAATAGTATTATCAATTACTTTACTTTAAAATTGTAATACTTCATAATGTATTTTTTAGATTCCGAGTAACAAGGGAGCTATTGGTTTTACAATGCTGTTTTTTTTTTCATTTTTCTTTGTTCTAGTTTGTGGACACGCTTTTTCCTAGTAAATTTGCTCCAATCTTTATGTGTAGCAACATTTTCTGAAAGCTTAAGTTGTTTATATTGTACTTTAAAAAAGTCTTTTTTTTATTTTCAACACCATTTTTTAAATAAACTTAAGTGGGAAAAACGTAGGAAAATGTAAAATTTCACAATTTCATTATTTTATAAAAACACAAACAATGTTTTCTACCAGAAAAAATGATTCAATCGAAAAATTACAAGACACCTTTTTTGTTGCCTTTTTGATTAATTTTCTTACAGTCTCATTGCCAAAACTTTTGAGCTTATAATGAATTTTAATTTTTGGTAATTTTTTGCTGTAAATCAGTTATAAATGCATGTAGAGACTTGAAACTTGGTAATAATACTTATATATGACTGACCTAGATGTGGTAAAATTTCCAAAATCATCAGACTTTTTTTTAATTTTTGACAATGGTACTTTATTTTTATTTTATACTATAGACCACTTTTATCCTAGAAAACTTTCTCCGATGTATAAGTGTAGCATGTTTTCTGAAAGTCAATTTTATCCACTTGGTAAATGCATAAGTTATTTTTTGATTTTTGAAAAGGTATTTAAAATAAAAAACGATTTTCACGACTATTTTTTTTAAATAAGTATCTACTATGTTTTCTAGCACAAATATGGCCAAAATTATCGGAATGACTTTTTTTAATAAGTATTTTGAATTCAAATTTAAACGAAAATTGTAAAAAAAAAAAAATACAGCACTTCAAATTATGTATTACCGAACTATATTACTTGGAATCATCTTTTGTCAAGCAATGGTATATTATTGCTTACAGATATAAATGAAATAACTTTATGTATCTTACCTTCCCAACTTCTCACCTACAACAGTGACCGTTACATCCCCAGTATCAGCTCTTTTTTCTCTTGCAACTGTTATGATGCCAAGTTTATTTTATGAATCAATTTGACAAAAAGAAGAAGAAAAAAATTATGGCCGTAATTTGGGTAAGTAGGTCACTGTTACAGGAGAGATATTGGAAAAATAGGATATAGAGGGAAATTTAATATCATTAAGTATTTAATTCTTTTTCATATGCAGCGATTAATCATTGCTAATGAAAAAAGATTCTGAGCGGAATTTGGTTATACATGTTTTGAAAGGCCATAATATTTAAGATATTCCTCAAAATTTGACATTAAAATTATTATTATATATAATAATATTATTATTGTTATTATATAGAAATTATACATTACACTTAATTTTAGATTGTGAGGGAAGCGAAGAAGATTATGATTTTACAATGATTTTTAGTTTAATTATTTTTTTTTTATGGACAACTTTTCAACCAGAAATCCTGCTCTTATTTGTTAGTGTAGCATCTTTTCTGAAAGTAAATCAGACTGAGAAAGTACTTTAAGGAAGTAATTTTTTGATTTTCTCAGAAGTTTTCTCAAAGAATTCGAAAAACCTGAAAAAACAAAGGAAAAAGTACAAAATATATTAGTAAAACATTACGTTTATTATGGTAAAATAATTAAATATGTATTATATATTTTCTTCAATAATATTTGTTTAATACTGTACTTATTGTCTCGTTTTTCCCATTATTGGGAAATATTTTGGGAAAATCAAAAAATAAAGTCCCTATAAAACTATTACAGTCAGATTTTCTTTTAGAAAAAGTGCTGTCATTGTAAATCTAAGCAAAATTCCTAATAGAAAAATTGTCCCCTGAAAAAAGGGGTCTATGTCAAAACCTTGAATTGCAAACATTTGAATTGAATGACAATAACTCAAAAAATAATAATTGATATTATTTTAAAATAATAGATTTGGCTGGTTTTTTGGATTCAAGATTTTACAAGAATTATTTTTTTTAAGATTTTTTCAGAATTTTTTTTATGATTTTGCTGGTTCAAAGTTTTGTAATTCAACATTTTGGCGTTTGAAGAACATTGGTTAATTTTTGCTTATAATATACATTAAATTATCTATATCAGTGGCTGCATCTGTCTCCAGTATCCTAGGACACCTTTTTTTTTTTTTTTTTGACCACAAAAGTACGACTTATAATAAACCTATTCAATTTTCAAGCATTTCTGTTTGGGATAACAGTGTACTTACCAAATAAAAATTACTTTAAAAACTAATAAAATTTAAATGTCTATAAATAGCTCAAAAATGGCTCAAATGTTTTAAACCATCATTTACTTTAGAAAAATCAAATATTTTAAACTGAATTATAATTATAATTATAACAAAAAAACATTAATTGTTATCTTTTTTTTTTTTGGTTTTGCTCAATTGTAATAAAAAAAACTTGGAAAATTAAATGAGCAATTAAATCTAAAATCATAATTAAAATATTTGAATATTTGTAAAATTGAACTTTCTAGGGTTGGACAAATTTGTTAAAATATTATATAATAATTATCCATTAATTTTAATATTTATTTAGGTATACCAATTATAATATATTTTAATATTCTGAATAAAATGCAAATAATAAATTACAATTTACATTACTTTTAGTAGTTGATGGAGTGCTAACACTTAATACATAAAATGTATTTTTCAATATTTCCAGCTAATTTTAATATTATATGGTCAAGTTGTAATAATCACAAATTTGACAATTAAATAATAATCATTGTTTGAGTATTATTCAAAATATATATATATATATGTTTCATTGTTGTAATGATTACTACAACATTGTTATTGATTAATACCAATTAAAAATCCATAATTTTTTTGTTATTCTAATTCTAATGTCAAGGATTCTTTAAAGTAATACCATCAATAATTAAATAACAAATGTTTTAAAAAGTTATTTTTCTTTAGTCAACTTATGACTTATTTATCTTGTTATTTAATAAATTTAATAAATTGTGTTGAATAAATTAAAAATAAAGTAGGTAATAATATATTTGAAAATGCATAGCAATTATTGTTACACAAAGTAATACAGAAAATATGTATTAAAATACCGGTATCTATAAATGTAAATTTTTTCCTTGTTAGTTGTTTTATATCTGTGTATGGGTTTGTCTAATTAATACAATTAATTAACAGTATGTGAATTAAATATGTATCTTATCACTGAAGTTTTAGTAAATATTTAATTAAACATATACTATTACATACTATTGTAGAATATTTTATATAATTTCTTAAAGAATGAAATAAATAAAAGATTTATCAAGAGTCTTTTAAGTTTATACAAATGTATAAATTATATTCTATTCTATTTTAATTCTATTCTATTATTAGAAGTCATGATCAATTATCATCATCTTAGATTTTTTTATTAATTTAATAATGAATTGACTTAAAATTATTACAGATTATATTTATTTTATTTTATAATATGTATGTATACTTTTTAAATAGGTATCATTGTATAATTAATAATTTTTGTTTTACTCATTAATATATGTGTAATTCTAAGTTTAAAACAAGGATAGTTTGATATCATCGAAGTAAATCTCATGTGCTAAGCAGCATTGATAATCTTTATTTAAAAAAAAACTATTCATTTTTTTGATTAATACAACTAATTTAATATTATTCATTAACTTATCTACTTTACTACAAACTATAAACTTAAAGGTTATAAAACCTTCTACTTTACCTTGAAAATATGTTTTAACTGATAATTTGAATATTATTCTTAATATATTCCTAAGATTATAATACAAGTAAAGTATTTTATAAAGATTTACAATGTTATATCATGGATAGTGTTAATGTATAAATATAAACTACATTTATTTAATTTATTAAAAACCTTGATTGTGTCATTTAATATTTTTCATAACTTATATAGAATTGTTTTTTAAAGAAAAAACAAATATTGGAACATTGTTCAAATTGTAGACAGTCTAGTAATCTGTTTTTTCATTACATACCACAATTGCATGAATATGTTTAAAAACTATTGTTTTATATTTATATACAGTGTATCTCACCATGTTGGACTTTTTTTAGAGCTGTTAATATTAAATATATTTTGATTTTTTTGTTTAATTGGTGTTTCTTAAGAAACACTATATATATATATGTTTGGTGTTACAATGTTACTTAAGGGTATTGTGTTTCTTAATAATTAAACCAATTTGTTGTTCTCAGGAAAATATCGGAATTGTTTTTGTTAAGAGACTCCACATTAATTCCGAATGTCATGTGGTTTGAGTACACAAATATACGCCATGAAGCAGGAACGCGAGCCAGACGTAGAAAATCAATTTCTGCGAAGTCCCAATGACTAACATTTCGATAGATTAGCATAAGACTTACTAATCTATAAAAGCAATAATTTGATTATTTGATTCTGTGCAATATTAAGTACCTAAGTAATTTTTTTTTACCTTCTTTTTTATAAACATGCTTTTGCTGTACTTAGGTAACTTAAATCTATTTAATCTTATTGCTGAAATTTTCTTAACACTATTATGCATAGATTATGATGTTTAAAGTTCGGTTTGTTGTGTGTATTTTAAGATAAGGGTAATGTTTAAAATTTAACATTGAACATTTTGTTGGAGCACCACCAACATTTTGTTGTCCATCTATTTTATATGACTTTTAAGAGCCTCGGGAAAAAACTTTTATTAGTTGATAGCAATTTTTAAAAATGAATTATCTACATTCTGTGGAAAACATTATTGACAGGGTTCTACAATTATATATTTAAAAATTGAATTTAAAACTTTAAAATACCAAAAAAGTTAAACTTTGAACAGAATTATAATATACATGTTTTTGTTTCCACAATTAATTACTGATTTTAAACATTTAATATTAACATTAAGTAAATATCTAACTAAATACTTTTTCTATTTTTGTCCCACCTCTGTTTGATTAAGGTGTTTTTAAATTTATAAATAATGTGTGATATTTTTAATATTTTATTAAGCTTATTATGTTATGTTCAAATATTACTATATTGTTTCTTATGTCTTATATGAAAGATTAAACTACAACATCTTCCAATAGTAACTTAGTTTATAGAATTTTATTATAAAATATGTAAATCTTCAGAAGCACTTAATACATAATGTATACAATTTTTCTTACTAATAAAACATGCCTTAAAAATTGGCATGGTGATTATTAATTTCTTTATTAGTTAATAATTTTTTCTTAATATTTAAAAGATCCTTAATAATTCTTTAAATTTTTATTGAATATTTTTTGTACTTCAAACATGTTTTTTTTTTTTATATATATATTGAATATACTAAACAGGCATACATGATCTGTGGTTGTTAAATTTAAGGTTTTAATTTTTAAATAATTTTTTTTTACAATTGTAATATTATTATGAATTAAGTTTATCATATAAAACTTATAAATGTGAATTTTGACTTATACCAATAAATACCAATTTTACAATTTTCTTCTATTGTCTACCTTGACAACTACAGAATTTCTATCAAAATATAATTATAATGTGTTTTTTATGTTGTAAAACTAAAAAGTATTAATCAAACAGTGAACTAGCATTTAATCGCATTTTTTTGATTTTTTTAGAGGAGACTACTTTTCTACCACCTATAGCAAACTGGAAAATATTTTATGCACAAACAAATTGACTTCTAGACATTGCAAAAAAGGTTAAAAAACTACCTAAAAGAATAATTGGTACTATAAATATTTCAACATTGCTGTCAATTAACCAGAAAAAAGAAAATTCTGGGCCTAGACAGGTCAACAATTTCTGGCCTTTTATTTTTTTTTAAGACTTTTATGTTACTTGGAACTAGCATTTTTAATGACTCTCCAAATAGTTCTATTAAATTTTGATATAATCATACACTCTGGAAAATATCAAAATCACAGAATTATTTGATAATAAGACTTGCTCTAAAGACAATAGATTAATTGAGGTTTTACTAAAACCAAAAAATGTATTGTGCAAGTTGTAAGTATATGTTTCAGTAAAATATTATAATTATTAGAACTAGCTACAGAAATTTTTGGTTTTATTAGGAGCAGTAAATAGTTTACAAGTTTTAGATAACATTAATAACATTACAAAAAGAGTATCAAACAAAAACTGAGTATTCTAGTATGAGATTTAAGGACTACCCTAATATATTGTCTGAACAGTCTTAACATTAAGCCGCGTTTGACGTGTCATGTTGTCATTACTCTCAACTCTTATCCTTTAGTTATTCTGACTCGGTATTGCTGTTATTGAACATGTGTATGCTTTATCGTTTATTATTGTGTTGCTGACTATCTATTCCCGTTCGAATCCGTTGCCGTTCTTCTGCAGCAGATAAACATTTTATACGTTTTCGCTATCAGGTCTGTAATCCCTCGCTATTTTCATGTGAGCGACCGGGTCCGTTGATAATTTGTTGTGCAAGTTTGGCTACTTCCTTGTATTTATACGGCGTTATTTTTGTCAAGCATATCTTTGTACTGTAACTGGAGTTGACTACCTCGTTCGTCCAGGCGTTCTTAAAATTTAACATGTCTGTTAACCCGTCTTCTGCATCGAACACCACTTACAAACAGCTACTCCATAAAGATGATAAGAAAAAAATTACTCTGCCTGATGTCTGGTGTACGTTGACGTCTATACAAAAATGTGTTTCATTTCATGATTGCGAGCTTAAGAAAATCGTTGATAATATTAAAAGTATTGAGAGTAGCCTCAAATTCTTTTTGTCTGTAATTGACAACATATTTACTGAGCTGAACTTGATCTGGGAAGAAAAAACTGCTTTAGCTTCCGAGGTAAAAATGCTTCATGAAAGATCCGTCCTCCTGAAGAATAGTCCACGTGACGGTGCTCTTGGCAAGGTTTGTGATGTCTACCATGAGGTACACCAAAAACTGACGAAGGCCTCTAATTAATAGTGTTCCATGTGCTCCCCTTGGCTGATGAATGTCCAGAGTCGATTTCCGGTCTGATTCGTGATTTATTTTCCGACTTCTCGGCTAATCGCGTACCTGTTTCTTCTAGACGAGTTAATCGGGAGGGACTAAGTCCATAGCCGATTGTTATTGAACTAAGTAATCCGTCTGATATTCGTATGATCCTGAAGTCGAAGTCCAAGCTCCGTAATTTCAAGCGCTGGAGTAGAGCATGGATTAGTGAGGATTTGACCCTCGTGTAGCGTGTTAAACTCCATAAACTCAACACAGACCTTAAGCGCTTGAGTGATGGTGGTGACCATGACTGGGGCATTGGGTATTACAATGGACCCCTCAACTTATGCGGAAAAAATTTAGCAGATCAATGCCGTCGAAGCGAAAAAACTAAGTTCCGGACGCGGTAATGATATTGTTCATGTAAACCAATGTTTTCCAACCTTTTTACCACAATGAACCATTTCAATCATTTTTAATAGGACACGGACCAATTCAATTGAAGGGCTCCCCGTAACAACCGTATAGTCCATTTTTTATAATTGTTCGTGAGAAACAAAATTGTAAATAATAATTATTTTGATAATAATGGAAAAAATTTACTTTTCACTATTAATGTTTTATACACGTACAACTACAATTTATTTGTTAAACATAATAATTTTAAACAAATATACCAACCTAAAAATATATATAAAATTACCAACATGTAGATTTACATAAGTGTAAAATAGTCAAACAAAATTTAGAAACATAGTATCCATCTCTAAGATTAATTTAGTCTATAGTTCACATTTTTATATTGATATTAGGTATGGTTTATTACAAAATAAAATAATATATTATCCAAAATACTACATGATAGACCAACATATTGTATAAAATAAAAATAATGTCAAAATAAAATAAAAAAATATTGTATTGTAAATATTTGTATATCAGTTCATAAGAAAATGAATCGTTGAGAAAGCTCATCCAATTGGAGTTGTATACTCAGTAAAAATACGTAAAACGCTAAAAATTCGATTAATCTCATAACTAAATATTTGAGAAACTATACAATCGGTCCCAATAATAATATTTAATTAATCGTTATTTAATGGTATTTAATAAATACTTTTATCAAAGTAACAAACTTTTGGTACCTACACACTTATAAATGTTGAAACACACTAATCGATCGTTGGCAGTAATAACGATAATAATATTATTCATTACTTTAATAAACACTTTTAAAAGTGGAAAAACACAATGGATGCTATATTTTTTCGTAATTCGTTTATTTTTTTTGAAATGAACGACCAAAAAAAATAAGATAAAATCTATGGGATCGCGGACTACCTATGACAGGCTTACGGACCACTGATTTGGAAACACTAATGTGAATAGTAAAAATATACTTAATAATATGGCTTATGGTTTTTATCAAAATTACCGAGACCTTAGAACTAAGTTAAATGTTTGTTTTGTAGTTTTGCATATTTTAATTATGCATTTATATTAATAATTTAAACTAGGCTTAATTAAAGTATAGCTGATGGTGAATTAAGCTTAAGTAATTACAATATTTTTCGTTGAGATATGAATAATGTAACTAGTAATTGTTCTAGAGGTGGTGGAGTACTTTTTGGTGTTCTCGCAGACTTGTTTGCCCATCTGGTGTCAATTAACGGTGTAAGTATTGAACAGTTTATTAGATTAAATTTTATTGGTAGAGTTTCTAGTTAGTGGAGTTTACTTGCCTCCAAATTCTTCTTCTCTTTCTTTTGAAACCGTATACTTCTATGGTAGAAAAATTGAATAAAAGTCATACCGATCATACGCTTATCTTTTGTGATGTCCTAATGTCTTGTGGTCTAATAACCAAAGCGGCCTCATTTACTTCTCCGCCCGGGATACCCGTACTAGCTGTGTGCCGGAGTCATTTATTGCTAACAATTTATTTCAGGTTAACAGGGTTCCTAATTCTTCTGGTCATGATTAGAGTCATGATGACTTTTGCCTTAGTGCATAGCTTTTTCCAGTGGTTCCAGAGGATCTCTTTCACTACCTCCCCAGTTAAATTTCTTTTTAAAAAATTGCTATGATTAAAAATTGGAGCAAAATAGTTTTAAAAAAGTTGTCTTCTGAAAAAAAAATCGTAATATTACACAAATATATTTCATACATTTTCTCGTTTTATTCGGTTTCTCGCATTGGATGAGAAAACTCTTGAGAAAATCGAAAAATTACCTCTTTGAGGTACTTTTCCACGCCGATTATCTTTTAAAAAAGTTGCTACAGGTAAAAATCGGTAGGTCAATAAATAGACATTTATGACACATATAATAAATTAAAGGTCTTATTGATGTTTCAGGATTTATTGAAAACTTTAATTGAGAAAACCAGGAAGAAACATGTATGAAAAATAGAAAAATAATTGAATAATTATGGTGCTATTCTGTAGCAGTTTCATTATTTTCAATTGTTTTTCGATTTTTATTTTTTACCATGTGTAACATCAGCATGTTTTCTGAAGGAGCATTGCATTTAGTTGGTGTTTAAGGAATTTGTTTTTTAATTTTCATAGGTTTATTTAATAATTTTTCTTTTTTTAATTCTGTTTTTGAGTCTTTTTTAGTTTTTATTTAATAGTAAATGGATAAAATTATTTGACCAAAACAGAAATGATTGAAATTTATCATGAGGTTGATTATAAGTATTAAGTGTGTTGTGCAGCTGTAGTAGTTTTTTTTATAAACGTTTTAAGATCAGATCTTTACTTTTTTTATTACTTTTAGTATAAATAATAAGGTTTTCTTATTGCTTAGATGGGTGTCCATTAGTAACGTCCACGGCGCATTAAAAACACGGACGCCCGTGTATTTAGACATGAGATTATGTTTGGATAAAGGAAAGAAAAAAATACATATATTAAAAAAAATACGTCGTAGGTATTTCCAGTACAGATGTGCCGTCCATACAACCCTCGTGTTTGTGTGTGGTCTAATGGAATTTATACCGAACACGATACGTGTTTAGACGTTAACCTTGGTTTAGAATGCACCGCACAAAACGAATACTCCGAACACTGAACACAGACAATGTACTGAAGGGTCGCGCCAATGAGAAAATAACACATAATTTTTCCCTCCTATCGAGTTTTGTTGGTTTGTATATAATACCTATAATATTTTTTTTTTTTACATTGAAGTAGACCTGACGTAAACATATACAGGGAGATACATACAGAGTGTTTTTTTTATTTTTTACCGTGATCTAGTGATTATCAAGTAAAATTGATCTTTGTTTTTTTTTTTTTTTTTTTTTTTTTCATCAGTCATAGACTGTTTTAGAATTACACAAGGTATATATCAATTGATTTCAGCACGATTTACAGTCAATATATATATATATACATTTTTTTAAATTTTTTTTTTCAGAAAATGTAAGAAACACGTAGTTCTAAAACGTTACATTATAGTTATTTTTTGTTATTTTTCATTTTTGTCAAAGGGTGAAATCATTGTCCGCTTGATTTTCAAAAAGCAACTACTATACTAAAAATTCCATGAATAAATGGAATATTGGTACTCTACTACTCTCTCCTTAACCAAGTTACTTTTAGAAGAATATCTCTTCGACGGGTAGACGGAAATGAATGTCACCATAAAAATTTCGTTAAACTAAAACTCCATCTATTTATGGAATTTTTAATATACATTGTCATTTGAAAATCAAAAGTATGAAGTCGTTCCACCTACACCCTCGAAAATAAAAACGCCAAAAATTAAGATATTGTGACATTTTAAAATCACGTATTTCTTAAATTTTCTAAAAAAAAATAAATATTTATGCAGATAACGAGTGTCTTATTAAAGATTGATCACCGTGTATTTAATAAGCCATAGGCTATAGTTTTGGACACTGGCGACTTAAAAGTAGAGGTAAAATTTCTATTTTAATTCCAATTTAATGTATATCTGCAAGCAAAGTTAAATCATTGCTAACGAAACACTATTCGAAACGAAGTTTGGTCATACATGTTTTTAAGGGCTATAATACTTACGATTTTCGTCAAAATTTGGTATTCAAAACTCTTATGAAAAACAATTTACTAAAATACACTAAACTATTCATTTTTGACCACTAAATACAACTTATAATGAACCTCTTGTTAGATTTTCAAGCAATATTCTGTTTGATTAAACAAACATTATATCCACAGAATATTTACTAAATAAAAATTACACAAAATTAAAATGTCTATAAATAACTCAAATGACTCTTATGTTTGGAAAATTGTATTATGTCTAGAAAAGGCAAATAGAAGTTTTGACAAAATGTCAAGTTCCTAGGAATATATATAACAGAATTACGAAAAAAAAAAAAAAAAAAATTGAACATAAATTAATAAAAGCATTGTTTTTATAAATATTATTCCATTCTGTATACGATTTTTCTTCAGATTTGCTTAATTATTTAAAAAAAAATTATAGAGAAAATCAAGAAACGACCTTCTTATTAAACAATTCGATAAAAAGTACAAAAACATAGTGTACAAATTTAAAACAATAACATCAGTAACGCCGCCGTAAATTATTGCCGATATTGGAATATATTTTCTCAATATAATGGATAAACCGGAAAAAATGGGATAATGTATGAAATGAAAGTATTAGAGAACGGGAAAATAGGTACAATATTAAACAAATATTCTTAAAGAAAATGTTTAATGCATATGTAATAGTTTTATTATAAAATATTGTACAGTATAATATAATATACAGTATATATTGTTGACAAAGCAGCACTGTCACCTTGAACTCCGCTCAGAATCGTTTTTTCGTTAGTAATGATTTATCGTTGCTTACAGATATACATTAAATTCCCGTCTGTATCCTGCCTTCCCAAATTCCCACCTACAACAGTGGCTGAACCCACGTGCGAAGTATGTCCGTCTTTTTATTTATCTGAATACAAAAGAAATTTACAAAATAAAATTATAATTACTATACTCGTAACTTATAATATACGTATTGTCCAGTTATAAAATATTTTCAAAGTGAAAATTCCATTCATTTTTTCTTTATTACAGCCAACTTGTCAATAACAGCCGATTGATCACACATAAATATTATTCACTTATTTTCCTTTCTATAAAAATTAACATCAAATCAATTAGTCAAGAACTTACCGCTGAAACACTAGATACAGAAATTATAATAATAAATCCAACTCGATAACTTTGTACTTGGTAAAACAATTAAGTAAGACCAAAATTCTATGAAAATAATGTTTTACTCAATGCACATTGATATTTAAATTTAATAAGATATTCACCGGAATAATATTATAATTAAATTAAATAGGTTTTTAGAAAACTACATACTTTTTCAGTCTCAAAATCCTTTTCTCTCCAGTTATTTACACATATAATCTTTGTTTTAATATCTACTATTATAAATACGAGTTTGTTTGTTTTTTTTAATATAGAAAATCTAGGTAGGCCCGGGCTTGATGCTACATCTGGTACATCAAGAACAAGTTTTCGTTTCGAAATGTTATTTACAGGCAGAAAAAAAAACACATACATATAATTAAAATTGACAGATCCTCCGCTTCGAATCTAAAAACGTAGACATTATTAAAAGCGCCGGGAAGTGAAAATTCAGGGGGACAGCCTTAATTTTTATTAACAATCAAAAACTTTGATGATGTTTTATGAATACTTTCAAAACTTTTAAAGGTATTATAATATGATATTACATTTTACACTCATTGTAACTAATTGAACAAAAATTTCAACTTTATTTTATTTTTCCCAAATTCATCAATAACTTTTTCGACTAAATTAGGTTCTACGACTTTTTTCTTACATAAACTCAACATGCATAATCAGGATAAATTATTCTCACATATTAGATAATCGCTAGTCAACTGTTCACAAAAAATATTCGTAAATGGTACTATGGTAAATCATAGATCATAAATCATCGTACATTGTGATAATAAATTAACGGAATTTTTTATCACGAAGTATACCTACCGACTAGGTACCAATAATGAATTTTGGGATATTGAGATATTGAATTTGGATATAATTACATTAACTTGCTGGAAAGCTAGAGGAGAGTTTGCCCCCCCCCCTGTCCCCCTCCCATGTGGGCGCTCTTGAATATTATTAGAGACATATTCAATTGGATTTTTATGTTGCGAACACGATGTGTGTCTTACTTAAATTACCACCATGTATTTTTTGTTTTATTTAAAAATTATTCACGTCGTAAAAACGAAATCTCTATTACCTATGATATATACTAAACTGGTTACATCTGCTGTAGACCACACACGCACACATTCTTACTCGGTGTGCGGTCTATAATCTTTTTAGCCGGGAAATAAAATAATATTATTTGGGTAGGTACCGACGCACGCAGTATTTGGGACGGTTATATTATTCGTTTCAGCCCCTATATACACACACTATATGAGGGGTTAGATTTCAATAAATTATTATAAAACACGATGCGAGAAACTGCTGCAGCTGCGAAATATAATGTGCGAGTACCTACCCATTATATTATATTATAAATCACGGTTAGGACATTATGTGTTTATACGTGAAATAAAGCGGATAAGGGAAGGCATGTGTTCAAAATCGGGATAGGCCTACAGGGGGGTAGGCATCGTGAACACATGTGGACAACACACAATGGAATAACGAAACAACGATAAGTACCCACATAAGGGGTCGAAAATGTGTTTTGTTCGGGTTTAGGTATAGAGTAAAATAATGGCGTCGCCACGTCGCAATGAGTACAATAGAGTAGGCACCGGATGATATTTTCAGTTGCTGTTTGTATTTTACAAGTTATAACTACGCTCGATTTTCGTCAAGGGATAATAATAATAATATTAAAAAGTCGATTGGAATATATACACATATTTTCAATCAGTAATACCGTAGTTCGGTAATACAGTGTTAGGAATTTTCCTACAGAGATTCTATTTTTCCTGGATTAGAATGATCCGATGATTTTTAATTTTTATTCCGATATTCAAACGTAGTGAACATAATAATGTGTATGTACGTTCTGGCGGTTTTGTACAATTTTAATACGTATATATATATATATACATTGTAAAACAGGTATTCACGATCCTATTTTAACTATAGTGGTTCCAAACAACTGTATAGACCTAGGTGTAATGAATACAAAAGATGAAATCAAATGCATAATATTTACTAAGTCTACCTGACCTACGTAAACTACATATAAAGTTTCACAAAGATATACTCATTGTAATATCCACATAGATAATAAAGAAAACCGAATTTCGTTATTTCTAATTTTATTAATGAAGATATTATTTTTTGTGTATAGGAATTTGTGTTCATTATTCCTGCGAATAATATGAACAGAAAAAAAAAACAGAATTTGATTATCTTTAATATATCTCGCGGGTACCGTCTCGCGGCTGGTGACGTGAACGCCAGATAGCCCGGATAATAATAGAAAAAATTGAAAAATTTCAAAGACGTGATTTCGAATTACATTGACACGTATTGCTTTTTTATAGTACCCGCCTATGTTCAGATTAAATGCTAACGGAAAATAATGGGCCCACACAAATTAAATGCGCCCGGGGCCCATTTAACTCTAGGCTACGGCACGGTACCCAAGGCCGTAACTGGAGGAAAAAGACGATCCAGCAGTGGTGTATGTTTGAATGTAAACAATGTAAGTGCATTTAGTAGGTACCTGTATCAAAACAATTCTAAACCCCCGCCCCCTGAAATTTGTTTTCAGTAACTACCTATGATATCATTTCGCCAGTCGCGGGTTTCGGATTTCGCCACTGGTCAGGTACGCGGTACGATTTGGCTACAGCGGTCGCGACTGCGACTCGAGACCGCTATTCGCGGGGCCGCGGTCGCCGTAGTGCTCCGTACGCAGCGACTATAACACAATCTAAATAATCATCAACGTTTAATCTTCAAATCGAATGGACATTACAATCTGCGATTGTTTTATCGAGTGCGGTAATATTATCACCGTCACACGGTGTACCCAACGCGTCAATTTATAACCGAAATTCGTGCACCATCCGGTCGTAGCCAGACCGGTTGTGTAGTTAAATTATTACAGACCGCTGTACAACGTTGGAGGGCCACCGATCGAAGTTGAAAACGCGAGGAGGTAAATATTAGGTGACACAAACGCTCTCTGCTGTCCGTTTGATATCCTCTAGCCGCGGTGGACCGACGGGCGACGGCGAGCGCGTTACACTACGGAAACATTACCGATCCGACCAGTGACCACTACTGACTGCCGTTCGATTTTGTCCATCATCCACTTTAACGAAATCATGACTTCATCAAGTTTTCTCACGACGCTGTTGGTCTCGTTCGTCTGTTCTACGATCGTTGCCGCTGCACCTGTTATGAACTCCACTTCCCATGCACCGTTTGATTCTACGGAAAATTCATCTTCCGACGTCTTCAATAACCACGTGTCGGATCATTTGCAGCGGTCAAACTCTACTATCACCGTCATGCCCGAACTTGCCACAGCGAATGATTCGGCTACGTTCCTGGACAAACCCTCCATTTTTAATGCGACGGGTAACGGACGGGAGACCGCCGCGGATAACATCACTGCTACCGAGTTCAATACGTACGGACCAGAGTCGAATTCTACATTAACCACTGTCGCACCAAACATAGAGTCGAAACCCATAGAAACAGGCCCCGATACAATTATCACGAACTCAACATTTAACGACTCGATCGTTGCGACGTGCGAACTAAAGACTAATTCGACGGTATTCGATGATGATCTTGCAATCGCTAAATCAAGAAACTCCACGTTAAATTCCGTCGATAATATCAACTCCACCATAGTCCAGCCACAGTCGAATCTGACGGCATTAAATTCCACAACAAACAGTTCCGTAGATACTGCGCAACAATCGACAAGCAATAGTTCTATCAACTCCATGCCTTTTTCTGCAGAATCCCAGTTAGAACCTGAGGTGTCAAATTCGACAGCAACGAATACATCTACTGGCTCTATTGTTGCCGAACAGGGTGTTGGTTTACAATTGGGTTTGGAAGAAACTAACACCTCTTACACCAAGTCCGCCATCGTCAAGCGGTCATTTTTCCCAGTGCTTTTCCAAAACATTTGGATGTATTGGCATTAGATAATTCAGTACACGGAGCCAGGTATTATGTTCCAAGTGTGTCCTTGGCTTCACGTACATATCATTTCAAAGTTTATGTTTATTACATTTTAATATTTCATTATATAATCGACCATTTTATCTATTTCAAGTTTATATACAATTAATACGCAGTATAATAATTTTTACTTTTAACGGAATTATTCCAAATATTATTATAATAATATATATTGTTTTGATATTCAATTATATTTCAATAAACATATTTTTATTATAAAAAATCTATGTGTTGGTCTATTATTTATTTATAAACCATAAATATATATATATATGTATTTTCATTTATTAATTTTCTAAGTTTAATAATTGAACAATTATTTGTAAACCTTATATAATTGTATAAACTCAATTTTTATTTGAAAAAAAAACTTATCGCGATCCAATTTTTAAGCTTACGCGGCCCAAAAAATGGGTCGCGACCCACCGGTTGAAGACCACTGATATAAAACATGGTGTTTCAAACCGAAATTAGTTGTTAATCGTAGTTAATTTTTATTTTTTAAAAAAGAAGAATGCATAATTATTTAATTTATAACTATAACAACTATATGCATCAATCAATTATTTACAAAATACAATTCTAAATAATGTTAAACATATTTTAAAATATACTTTTTACAATTTTTGTCATAATTTAAAATAAAAAGGGTATAAAAAAAAAATTACTAAACTACAGTAAACTTTCTTTCTATGATCAAGAATAACTTATTATGAGCCTCGTATGAAATATTTGATCTGAAGCCAAACAATATTATACTATAAAAATATAAACTATATAAATATTTATTAAAACCTCCTTAAAGTTTATGATAGGAGAAATATTTTGGGTAGAAATGTTAACAATCACAGACTCATAAAAGTAAGTAATAGATAATCCGAAAGTAAAAAAAAAACAAAACAATAATATTTACATAATCGGCTAGCTCGACACTCGGCTAGCGGTTTAGACATGCCAAGTACCATACATCTTGGTAGTGGGAGTAATAACTCGGCCGAGCGAATAGAAACTGTTTCTTTTTATTCGCCCGCTTATTTTACTCGTCCGATTACTAAGCCGAGTACTGGTTCCTTGAGTTCACACGGGACAGTGCTCGGCCGAGTTGACTCTCTCGGCCGAGTACTCGTCACGTGTAAACAAGGCAATAGAGTTTGGTTTGAATTTGTCTACATTTAGTTCTATAGTTCAACAGTTTTCATTAGAAGATTTCTAAAAGACTTATTTAATAACTGAAGTTGTTTTTTTTTAATTTTCTGCTTGGTATCTGCCAAATNTCTTCATTATTTTCAGTATCTTTGAATATTTTATCTAAAGATCTACTTCAAACGAATCAGCCGATTTTCTCATTTATTGACTCAATCTGAAATAATATGTTTATTAACACAAAGCTTTTTGATATGCAGAATAGTACCTAAATTATAATTCTAAAAAGTAAAATTAATGTGGAGAAATTCTTTAAAAAAATGAAAAAATTGTGTTAATTATTATCAATAAAATTGAAAATTAATAGTATATTACATTTTAGAAACTTAAATCAAAATAATCAATAATATAATGTTCATTTTGTTCAATAGTATTTGAGAAATTATTTTTAATCATAGAAACTAATAATTATAACATTTTAATTTTTTATAATATATATATTTTTAAATTAATATGTTTTGTAACTGATCCAAAAAATTTAAACATTGAATTAGCAATTTAAGGAGAAATAGTGCTTAAATGTAAATGTAACTAAATCAACAACACAAATTATATGTATAAAGATAATAATAGAACAATATATAGACATTGTACAAACAATTTTAAAAATTGAAAGAAAGCTTTTCTTACTTGGGATCAAAGATATATTTACATAAAATCTATCTATATATAATAAACATATCCTTTAATTTAGTTACGCAACACAATTGTTTTAAGAAAAATGTTAGTTATATTCTAGGTGTCCTATAATATATTTCCCCCCTGCATTTATCAATTATGATTGATAGATTACCTTTAATTTAACCATGGTAAGGTAATGTTACATTTCGTAGTAGTACAAAGCTTCGTATGCTTTAATATGACAATATGATACTAATGCAGTCAGAACTGAATAACATCCAAAAACTCCTCCATGACCACCGACCAGGTACTCCTATAATAATAATTAAATAATAATTATAATTCACAAATGACAAACTGAAAATAAAATACTGTGTGTCCCTGTATAGTAGTAAACAGTCCTGAAAAATGTTTAAAACAAAAATCTATTTAATTTGTAAATATAAAAATAATATGATGATATGCTGAGTGTTTTAAGTTGATAAATACTTAATGAACTATGTTAAACTGATGTAACCTAAACTGATAAACTATACAAAATAGTGTACAATATTGTTATGTTTAAGTATAATTTTTACAAAATATCTTACTTTATATACAAAACATTCTAAATAGTCAAACAATTTTTGTTTTTAATCTTAGAGAATTTCGATTCTTATACTATGAATCCATACATAATGTTAGTCATGCTGCTATCATTACTCATAGAATAAATGTTTGGAGTTATCTTAAGGGCTTTTATGATTTTAAAAAAAATGCGTTTTATGTACAGAGAAAATCAAAAATAATGGAGATAGGTCACAGAAACTTTCTGGTAAATGTAAGGTACAGAGTGGAGAATCGTTTAAGTATAATTTGAAATATAATTTGCGTGGGCAGGTAAAAATGTGTGACCTGAACGTAAACGACTAAAATTTATAGTGGTTGATTTGAATAGATGGAGTTGGTCGAACCAAGTTTTATGAGGAATAATAGGAATGATTTTATATCTGGCGGCAAATTCTGCCGGGTGATTTGACCAATGAAAGGACCAAAGGTGTTTTATGTGTTTAATTAATATGTTTAATTACAACAAATAAGAAAATTGAACAAATAATAAAAGCATTATTTTCGTAAATTGCCCGTTTTTCTTACGTTTTTTCTCACTTTTTCTCTTTTATTGGGAAAAATGCCGAGAAAATCAATAAATGAACTCCCTAAAGTACCGCCCCAAGAAAATTTCCCTTCAGAAAAAGGTTTACATCGGATAATTTGGAGCAAGATTTCTGGTAGAATTTTTGTACACAGAAAAGGGTAATAAGTTGCCTATTTATGAGCCTTTTCTACTCCTCCAGTCTACTGTTATTACTCATAAATGGTAAATCTAATATTAGTGTTATACATATCAACATTTCTCGAAAAATATTTTCTATTCAAATCAATGTTCAAAAGGGGAGGTTCCTATTAGAAAATTAAACGTATGCACATATTTAAGGTATATAGAGAATAAAGGTAAAAAATTAGAAAAGGTTTTAAAATAAAGCTTAAACAATTCCATAATGATTAGAAAAAACAGAAATTATATTCACTTAAAATCTTTTGAGATAATTGCCATTTCATGATAAAAAAAAAAATCACCATGTATACTTTATATTGTTCTATGGTATTTGAACTTTTTATAGATTCTGTAGAAGCTATTACAGGTTCAAAATATATTTTTTTTTGTTTTGGGTCTAATGCTTTTTGTTCAGCTGCAGGTTTGACAAGGATTTTATCCCCAGTATCACCAATAGTGTTAGTATATTTATTTTTCTTAATCACTGTTAATTATCTCATGAACTAATTGAATAACTTTTATATTTAAACTTTGAAACTTTAAATTACAAAAAAGACGTCCTAGAATAATGGGGTCGGGTGCAGCCACTGTAATAGGTAAATTAATATATATCTGAAAGCAACGATAAACCATTGATAACGAAAAAACGATTCTAAGCGCAGTTCAGTTGATAGTGATGCTTTGTCAACAGTGTATCCATCAAATTACGATAAAATAATTAAATAGGCATTAATAATTTTAAAATTTAAAATTTGATCGATAGGATTTTTTACCAATAATTGTGCACCGGTATTCAAGTGTAGCATCAGCATGTTTTCTGTAGAAACATTGTATTTAGTTGTTGTTCAAGGATGTTATTTTTTGATTTTCGTAGTTTTTTCAATTAAATTTTTTATTATTTTTTTTAAATCTGTTTTGAGTCTTTTTAGATTCAGAGTAAAGCGAAAAACCTTATGGTTTTAAAAAGATGTTTATTATTTTTTTTTTTTATCTGTGCGCAATTTTTCTATCAATAGACTTGCTCATATTTCTAAATGTAGCACATTTTCTGAAAGAAAATCGACGTAAGGAGGAACTTTAAAAGGGTAATTTTCCGATTTTCTCAAGAATTTTATCATCAAATTTGAAAAACGAAAAAAAAAACGAGAAAATGTACGAAAATTATTACTAAAATATTATTTTTTTTTTTTTCTATGCACAACTTTTCAACCAGCAATTTCGCCGCAACTTTTAATGGTAGAAATGTTTCTAAATAGGAATTTCAATAGCGAGATACTTAAAAGAGATCATTTTTTGATTTTTCTCAGAATTTTACTAACAAATGTGAAAAACCGGGAAAAACGTGGGAAAACCAGGAAAACTGGGAAAATCTATACAATATTAAACATATATTATTAAAAAATATGTATAAAGCCTATTTAATTATTTTTCTATAAAATAAAGTATATATTGTTGAAAAAGCATCACTATCAACTGAACTCCGTACAGAATCGTTTTTTTGTACGCAATGGTTTATCGTTGCTTACAGGTGTACATTAAATTATCTGAAACAGTGGCTGCACCTTTCCCCATTATCCTAAGACATCTCTTTTCAGTTTTTATTTGATAGTTAGTATTTGGATCGAATTGAACAAACACAAATGATTGAAATTTTACATGAGGTTCATTATAAGTAAGTTGTATGTTTTATATTCCTTAAAAAAAATTGGACGAGCTGTAGTACCTTTTTTTTAAAAACTTTTTAAGATCAGATTATTATTTATTTTTTTCCTTTTAGTATAAATAATTCTTATTTCGTGTATGGGTTTCCATTAGAATCACTAA